CAGAGATACTGGTTTTAACAAAACAGATTCCCCTTCAAGGAATCTAATTCCACTAGAAGGCTACTGTGAGTGGTCTGATTCTGCAGGTAGTTCAAAATCTAATCATTTTTCCTTCAGATAGGTTTTGTGACAGCATGGAAAGAAGCACTGTAGCATATGTAGCTGCAGTGCAAGGTTATAGGAGCCTATTCCATTATTTTTCCCACAGAAGACTCATTTGAATCATGGAAGGCTGTCCTGGATGGAGGATGGCTTGTTTTCACCAGGTGCCAGGAAGGGACAGCACGGATCTGGCAACAGCCTGTGAAGAGCTTGGGGCTAATCCTTAGCAGGCATTTTTGTCTTCTGTTGCAGTAGCCGGGGGAACAGTGGGATACAAACATAACTACACCATCCCTACATACACACGCCTCAGCAGGTTCATTCAAACCCACGGGGCCAATGTGTTTTCCCAGGCCTTTGTGCAGAGAGTGCTGGCGACCGGATCCAAAGGGCAGAGCTCCCATGGCAGCAGCAGCTGGAGCCTGCTTGCGTGCAGGAACTGCCTGAAGGCCTGCCTCACCCTCGTGGAGCTCTCCTGCTGGCTGCATTTTCAAGCATCCTGCCAAGCTACGGAAGTCATGATTGCTCATCTTCAGCCACAGATGGGAAATGTGGAAAGGCTGCACTGTGAGGCCAGAGATAGCTGGAGGATGGCAAGCCCCCAGGCTAGCAGTAATGCAAGAGGACCTGATGTGAGGAGGTGTGTTTCCAAAGCAGCGGACTGCTCAGGTCTGGTAAGCTCACTGTGTGGTGTGCTGGCTTTAAAGGGAGCCCTGAGCTTGAGCCTGCTGCTCCAAGAACTTGTGCAAAAAGCTGCTCTTTTACTGCATGGCAGAGAAAGAAGAAAGTGTTAAAGACAGTGCGCTGAGAGCAGGATTATGAAGTTGCTCTCTGCAAAGCTTGTTTCTTTATGTCAAAGACAAGAGTTCACTTATGTCTTTCTGGGGCTTTCATAAAAGTGAAAGAGTTGAAAGGAGCACTCTTATTTCATTGGCATGTTGAAAAACACTTTCCACATCATCACTGCACATCCATTGAGTTGACTAGTGAGACGTGTACGTGGGTGAATACTGCTTTACAGTAGAAAAAAGGGCAAAATACGACGTTGGCTGCTCTGGTTTTTCAAGGCAGAAAGCTAACCTGGGTGGGCTAGACAGTTTATGGTTGAGGGGTACAGAGCACTAGTGAAAGGATTATATACCTGCTCAGCAGCTCCACTGAACGTGGAAAATACTTCCACTTGTTTTCGGCACAACCACGTCTCTGCCCAAGCCGTGCTCTGTCCCAGGCACAGCAGCTGGGATTGCCAGCAATACTAGCAAACAGGGATGGCACCGTGTCTTCCAGCCTAGAAAACAGACAACACCATTTCCCACTATTTCCTCTACAAACCCGTGCTTTTTCTTCTGTAAATGCGTATTTGTTTGGCATTTATTTTCTGTGTTCACTACCTAGTAGGGCTAATGGAAACTAGAGCAATTAATGCTACGTGTGCCTGAAAATATGTCTACGTATCAGCATATAGTAACGGGATACTACGTATAAGTAACGGGAAATGTGAGAGTTTAACTGATGAACACTGTACTTAAATATTTTTTCCTGAAGAACTCTAAGTGGGACAACAACACTAGGGTTATAATAAAGGACAAAATAAACTCTTCACAAGACACTGGCAGTATTGTTTCAAGGTAGAAGAGCAGGCTGAGGGAGTAGCTAAAATATCTAAATTAATATATATATATATATATATGCATATAAGCAAATTGTTATGATTATAGATGTGTGTATTATATAAATGATGATATTGTACATAAATATTTACAATATGTTATGTGTTACAATGTTATACATTATATGTTATACATTGTATGTTATAACACATTATAGGTACATACGTTATCTGTACAATATATAGAACTGATGTGGGTATCGAATGAACTGAATGTATACTCCTGGAAGCAGTTTAGATCGGAGCTTTGAACTGGAACTATGCTCAATATGTGCAATAATTAGGCAATTAAAACACAAATGATAGAAGAAAGCCAATAAGAAAATGCAAGGTGCAGCATAATTAGGAGCTGATGAAATGCACATAAAATGGAGCAGTGCCTTATATCTGGGCTCCTGACACTCAGAAGCAGCAGCAGGCCACGCAGTCACTCACACGCAGCACTGCACCGTCCTTTCTGCCTGCCAGAAGCCCGCTGGACAAATCTGGAGTCTAATCAGCCTGGGCAGAAGCAGCCTGGTGCTCACGGGGCTCAGAGCTGGGTTAGAAGTGGGTGGCTGCACGCTGGGTGCACAGGGTGGGATGCTGCTCCTAGGTACCAGGAGCGGGCGGTGGGAGAGGCAGGGCCTGGGAGCAGCAGCTGGACGCAGGCAGGAAGATCAATTTCTCCATGAGGCCTGGGGCCAGGATAACCCCTGTATCTGTCTGGGTGCTATCCAAATGCACATAGGTTGATGCTGAGAGAAAACATGAAAGGCTTTCAAACAGGCAGCTGAAGCTTTTGCATCGCTGTTTACTACAGAACAGTTTAGGGCTATTCCCACACTGCGACTTCTCTGTATGGGGAATGAGTCAGCCACAAAATCTGCTTTGAACTGAAATCAGTAGAAGAAATCTTAAGACAAATTGCTCATAAGAAGGAATTGCTAGCACCAGATCATATTCACTCCTGAACTGCAGCCTAAGCAAGAAATTAGTCACCTATCTGCTTATGTAACCATAAAGCAAAACTTCCTTGATAGGAGAGGAATAGGACATGGCAAATTTGTATGTAACACTGTTCTTTAACGTGGCTCTGAAGGAATTTGGAGAACTACAGCCTGTTGAGTTTCATGTCTCTAACATGCCAATACATAGAAACTATAAAAAATAATGTAATTTATCAAAATATGGGAAAATATGTAAAATCATGAAGATTTGCTGCTGTGATTTAACCCCTGCAAGCAGCTCAGCACCATCCAGCTGCTTGCTCAGTCCCCACACAGCGGGAAGGGGAGAGAACCAGAGAGGTACAAATGTGGGACCCCGTGGGCTGAGATAAAGACATCTTGCTAGGTAAAGCAGAGTAACAACTGGTTAAGTACTAACAGCAAATGAGAAACATGATCCAGGCAACATGTCTGGCTGTTTAGGTCAACACCCATACAGACAATTCCATTAAGCCAAATGTGCTCAATGAAATTCAATTGTCCTACTCATCTGTGGTGTCTACTTTGCTGATATTACAAAAACTAATGGCAAAACTGTTGGCCTACCTCTGATCATAAGATCCTGAGCTACACTAACTACAAAATTTTGTGAAATAATAAAGATTTAATTATAACTACAGCTTAGTGCTGTCCTCATTCTGCCCAGGATCCCTAAAAATCCTGTCTGTCCCTGTAGGGTTGGGTGACAGCTGCCTGGAAGTTGGCCTGGGAACCAGGGGCATCCTCGAGGGTTGCAGGCAGGACAGTCAGTGCTGGTGAAAGGGACCACAGGCAAAACCCATGCCCCTGCACTTCTGGAATATAAATGAGCAAAGAGTAAAGGGCAAAGACGTGATTTGAGCATTTCTGAGCACTCCTTTGCACCTACCCCTTTGCTCATTTATACTCACCTTGTAGGTAAAGCACTGGTTTGCCATCAGTCTGGTCCCTGGGCCAGGAACATCTCACTCTGAGTAATCTTCCTCCGTGGCTTTCCCACTTGCAGTGCCCCGAGGCTCCTTTGCTTCCCTCCAGACCTTGCCACAGTGGTAAGATAACGTCACCACCACTCTCCTCCATGCAGCCCCAGCTGGGAGGTTCGTGGTGCCTTCAAAGCAAATGGGGCAGCTGCTAATAACAATTTATTCAGGCCAAGGGGCTTGCAAAGTTGTGTGAGCACATGCCTCGCTGTGCTGTTCATCCTGCACCTGCACTGACCCTTCGATGGGCAATGGCCGTGTGGTCAGCATCACGACAGGCACCCAGGATGGAGATATTGCCAAGTGCTCCAACACCGGTCCCACTGTGCCTGCGCTGTTTTTGGCTGTGATAAAGTTAATTTTCTTCACAGTAGCTCCTATGGTGCTGTGGTCTGGATTTGTGATGAAAGCAGCGGTGATAATGCATAGATGTAGCTGTTGCTGAGCAGTGCTTACACAGAGACAAGGTCTTTGCTGTTTCTCATGCTGTCCTGCCAGTGAGCATGCTGGGGGTGCACGGTGTTCTTCTTGCTGGGAGGGGACACAGCCAGGACAGCTGGCTCCAGCTGACCCATATTCCAGATCATGCGATGCTGTGTTCAGCAAGAAAACCGGTGGGGAAGTTTTGCAGGGCTGCCAGGGCTTGGAGACTGGCTGGGCATTGGCCAGCCAGTGGTGTGCAACTGTGCTTTTTGCATCATGTGTGTGTGTGTTTTTTTTTCTTTTTGTTTGTTTTGCTTTGTTTTATTTCCTCTTTTTACTTATCGTACTGTCTGTATCTCAACCCACGAGTTTTCTAACTTTTGCCTTTCTAATTCTCTTCCCCCTTCCCGTGGAAGCGGGTGAGCGGCTGTGTGGGCCTCACCTGCCCACCAAGTTAACACACAGCGGGGTTAACTCGGGCTTTTGCTAGGAGAGGGAACCTGAATCCTGCAGCTGTGCAGATGGAGACTTGCTGTCAGGGAAAGAAAAGAAAGCAATGGAAACTTTTTTTTTGCAAAAACTGCTTTTTGCCCCGAACACCACAGAACCACGCTGCTGAGCAGGGCTGCACCCCTCGGGGTGGAGCACATCCGGAGCTTCACAGCGAAAGCCCCGCGGGAATCCTCGCTGCGAGCGCCCCCGCTCGCTGCCAGCCCCCAGCACGGGAGCCCCCAGCGCGGAGCTGCCGGGCGGCCGCCGCCGCGGCCCCTTTAAGAACGAGAGGGCGGCGGAGGCGCCGCCGCGCCGGACTGCGCAGGCGCGCGGCTCTTACCCGCGACTTATTTGACGCTGCCCGCGCGCTCGGGTGGGGCGCTGTGGAGCCGCGGGGCCGCGCGCATGCGCGGTGCGTGTCGGGGCCGGGCTGCTCGCTGTGCGCTTTGTGGCGCTGCCGGAAGCGGCGGCGGGGAGCGGAGCGCAGCGCAGCGGTGTCCGCCCGCCCGCCCTGGGTCGCCTCGGCCGCCGCGGGCCCCATGGAGCCCTGGGCCTGAGGGCGCAGCGGCCGTCCCCGCGCAGGCCCGACATGCCCGCCGGGCCCCTCGGCGCAGGTGAGGCGGCTCCGGGCCCTCCTGCGGCGGCGCTGCCCGCGCCCGGCCGCTCTCCTCCTCCTTCCCCCCCCCCCTTCTCCTTCCCCGGCCCCGCGCTGGGGCCTGTGGTGGTGGCTGCGGCCCCGGGGGCAGCGCCGAGCTCCCGGGGGCCGCGGGGCTCCCGAAGGGTCTGGGCCTGGGCCTGGTCCCGGCCTTTGCTCCGGCGGCCGGCCCAGGGCGGTGTTGAGGCCCTGGGAACGGCCCCACCGGGCCGGGGGGGTGTGAGGGGGGAGAAGTTTCGTGTCCCGGGATTTACCCGGACCTCCCGCAAGCGCTGCGGGGCCCCTCGGTTGTCTCCCGTCTCCTCCGGTGCTCGGGGCCGCGGGCAGCAGGTCAGGCTGCTGCTCAGGAGGTGAGCAGTAGCTGAGGCGCAGCAGCAGGCTGGCAGCTCAGGCTGAGGGGAGCGTCGGCTTTGGGAAGCCCCTTCCTCCTTGTGCCTGGGCGGTTGGTGGAGTTGCACAAGGAGCTGTGCCGGGGAAGAAGCCCAAATGTAAAATAAAGCACTGAATGGGACCTGTTCTGGGGCTGGGCCAAGGAAATGCGCTGTTCTACGGAATAGTTCCCTAAGCAGTTTTTGGCACCACTGAGGGCTGCAATAACTCCTTAAATTCTCAGGTAGCCTACCTGAAAGGTTGCTTTCTCACCACAGCTCTTACATATGGAGCAATAGCACAAAGCAAATCAGTAGCAATGTCTGAGTAATGAACCCTGACAGCAGATTAAAGTAGCCAAAAGTCACCCAACTGACTGATGGTTTTGCTTTGTTAACCTGCAGCTGTGGCAGTACCCAGGTACTTCCTGGGTAGTAACCTTCTGCACAGCAGGTGCCTGGGCTTCCTGCTTTGGCAGGGCTGTGTCCAGTGGTGTTCTCAGGACCCGCGGTGGTGAAGGGGGCTCAGACCCTAATGAGCAGGGAGTGCAGGGGGAGAGGAGTCTCTAGCTCTGGGGTTTAAACAGTGCCTTATGTCTGAAACCCTGTCTTTCCTGGCTTAGCTTCATTAGCTTCGTGTACTGACTTCTGCTGCAGCTAGGTGAGAAAGATGGGCAAATTCATCTTCCCTGGGCTGGGGAGCATCACAGCTCCACTCTTCTGCTCAGCAGCACTATAATGGCTCACCTGGCCTGGGGGCAGAGGACGCGAGTTCCTGTTCTTCCTCTGCTTGATTGCTTCATGCTTCAGATGTAGATCTTTTGTTTAACAGTAATCCTGACACATATCTCAGTTTATTCTTTAACAAAGTACCAACTTCACACACACGCAAAAAGGCTTTCAGCAGAGGAGGGCCTGTGGGATGTGAGTTTCTCAGGTGGGCCTTGTGTTGGTTTTGCCTGCTGGCTGCTCTGTGCAGTGTCTGTGTGTAGTGTGTGCTGGGCGTGCAACATACCTACTGGGTGGGCTCCAAAGGCGAGCTACCCAGAGGAGCATGCACTTCTGCACTCCTGGGGGACTTGCTGTGAGATGGTGCCGAGTTCTCATCTTGCCAAGACCCGGATTGCTCTCTGTATCCTCCAGCAGAAAATCAGAGTGCAGAGGGGCATCAGTGTCAAGGTAGGGTGAGGGGGGGAGGACCCCGTTTTTCCATGAAATACTTGTGAAGTGTATTTAATATCCTAGAACTTTATGTTGTAGTCCCTTTGTATTGCTGTTTGTTTGTGTTAGGCTCTGCACTCTTCAGTGAGGTCTTGTTTGGGTGTCTTTGCTCCTACTCTATTAACAGTATTCCTTCCATTGAATTTTCAGCGCAGGGGGGCAGAATGGGGGGCTGTTATTTAGATGGGTGATCTTCACCAGTGTTACTGATCCAGGAGTTTAAATATTTTGGCTGCAGCTATTCATCTGAAGGCTTTAGGGACTATAAATAAAACTGAAATATCTTTAATTTTCAGTTTTGTGAGCTCATTAGTAACTCTTTCATGCTTGCCTACTTCTAGAGTTTTTATGAGCTGATCTTTGGTCTTAAATGCAGAAACATCCTATTTTGGTGGTTTATATGATGATAGCTATGAAAATTCCTAAGTTGAAATGGCTCTGGAGGTAATATATTCAAATTATTTACCATTCTAAGGAATATTGGAAGTTATGTTTAGTTTCATAGTAGATGGTACATATTTTAACTCTGTAGTTGTTCCACTACTGTTAATACTAGAAATTTCTTTTCGAATCTGTCTGTCTGTAAAGATCTGAGGTTATTTTATTTACTGCAGCCTCCAGGAACATAAATGAGTTCTGTTCCCAAACTTGGGTGTAAAGATTCCTGGTGAATTTCCTAGTTGTATTTATTTTTCTTCCTCTCCTTAATTAGGTAGTCTGTAACCCTGAAAGTCTTTAGTGATTTTGTACCTCTGTTGGTATGGAATTTGAATACTCAGAGTACTATTCAAAAAACAGGAATTAAAATCAAGGCACTCTGGTTGTGTGGAGTGAAAACTGTATTTTTTTCAAAGTTGTATAGATGTTTAATCTGTGATAAATACATCCTCTTTGGAGGGAGTGGTCCTCTTCCTATGAAGCATTAGGTACCTTCTGTATTGAGCATTTTCAGCAAGTTACAGGGCTGCCAGAGTGTTCTGTTTTCACAGGTTCAACATCAAAACAGATGTAATGGTGAAGCGACTCGCCAGCATTTTTCAACTTCTGTCCAGTTTCAAGAAGCTGATGGCTTTGGCTATACCACGATCCTAACAGATGATGACAGTTTCCAATTCCGATGGCAGTCAGTAGGATCTAAAATGAAAAGCGACTTTTAGTCCTTGCAGATAAATGTAGGAGACAAGTCAATAACATCAGGGAATCCTGCCTCAAATGGATTTTACATCTGAGATAGTTTCTTGGTTCATTATTCCTTGTATATTGATAAGTATAGCAGAAAATTATTTTATGGCAAGACCAAAGGAAGTCATGAATATTGAGAGAATTCACTCCTGAGTATTAAATTTGTGTTGGCAGTCCAGCAGACGGCTGGGTTTATGTGGCACCAGAGGTTTTGGTTACCCCTGTGCTGCTGTCAAACATCTGCCACATGACGTGGCATATCCCAAATCTGTTACAGATGCTTCATCTCTCAGAATTTGGGAAGGTTAGCCAAAACAGCTGTACATCTCTTGCTTTGGCATGGCTGGGAGCTGCATACAAAGGGATGTGGTCACCTTACCTTGTGTCAGTACAACGAGGATTTGCAAAATGCTTCAGAATTTGACTCCCTGTCCTATGATTTACTTTTGCCTTCTGTAAAGGGGCTGCCTACAATTCCCTTGTGCTGTGCAACACTTCCATGCTTCTGGGAGCCCTGTGCTAGTTTAAGGGCAGGCAGGGCGGGTGTGCTGGCACTTATCAGCAGGCTGATAAGTTCCTGCCAGGCAGGAGCTGCTAGCTCCTTCAGCTGACACATGCTGGTGGAAACCATGTGCTACTAGCAGCTGAAATCAGTTTAAATCAACACTCTGGATCTCAAATGGTGTTACCTGTTTCTATAATGGACTCCTGTTTCACATGGGGAGTGCATTTGCCTTTGGAGCAGCAAAGCTGGGAGCATGGAGGGGAAGAGGGGCCCGTGGCGCTGGTGGAGACCCACTGCAGACTGGGGGGGAAGGGGAGAGTGTATGGGGTGGGTGCAGTTCCACTTCTACCCCTCGTTCTTCCCCTCCCAGCTCAAGCTGGAGACTAAGGCAGTGTTCAGGTAGGACTGGAGGGAAGATGAAGCCCATTGGGTATAGGATCTGAAGAAAGGGAAAAGATAGCAGCAGGGAAACCTGCCTAAAGAAGTTAACCAGTGAGTGAAGCCATTACTAAGGATGATTGTAACTGGGATTGTGGATCCTGTTCCCTCTTCGGTGGTTTTGTTGTTGTTTTGACTTCTCAGTGTCCCAAGACCTAGTGTCTTGGAAGTGTTTTCATCTAAGCTGAAGCATCATGATGGTGGTGGGACAGGCATTCCCCTGCCACTGCTCACAGAGGAGGAAAAAATGCCCAAAGGATGCTGAGGATATGCTTCCTGCGGGCTGCACCTGCTCTGAGTAAGCTGCTGTCAGATGAGCATGTGTGATTGCTGCCTCAAACCAGGAAGGACACAGTTTGGAAAACCAAGACCTTGTTGCCTTGCCTCTTCCCCAGAAGGGAGTTATCGGGCTTTTTGTGCAGGTTTTTAGGTGTAAGTTGGGATTCGGGGAGTGAGTTCAATTGGCAGATGTGTTTAAAGGGTGGCTTGTTTCTAGGAAGGTGCATTTCCAGGCCTGCCTTCTTATTTGGTTTTGGGCCAAGAAATGTGTAATGGAGGCATTCAAAACATTCCCTGTGTAACTAACTAGTTGCTGAAGCGTGCCAGCTAAGGATAGCTGGCAAGCAGTCCTCGGAGCGCTGCTCGTGACAGCTTGAGCTGATCTGAGCTGTGCCATGCTTCTGCCTTTCCTCCTGTGCCAGCCCTGCTTTCCTTGTTTCCTATTGTTCAGGTGGTCAGCAGCCTCAAGTAACTGATGCCAGCGCTGGTGTGCGAGGGGGGGAGGAGGGAGATGGTGCTGTCCCAGTTCTGATGGCTTAGGCACCTGCTGGAACAGCACCTCTAAGTTACTTGGAGTAGGTATGAAAACCTGCTCTTGCCACCTCTCCTGGCTCCTTTGTGTGGTACAGATCTTTATCTAACTGGAGTGAGATCAGATCTTGATCTAGCTTAAAAACTGTCCCAGCAGACAGGAAACTTGTGCTGCCTTAGCTTTCCTACTGCACTGAGGAGCCGATCTCAGAGCTGCCTGCTGAGGCTGGACCGCAGCCTGTGGCTGGCTGCTGGGCTCATCACACGCTGTGCTGCCCGGAGCTGCTTGCCGAAAAACAAATTGGTGGGGTGTGTGTGCTGGTGCTGCAGCATGGCCCACTGCCCTTAAGGCAGAAAGGCTTTTTTTTTTTTCTTTTTATGCTGAACAACTTGAAGTGCATTGACTTTACAGGGGTTAGAAATGTAGTAGTAATCTATATTGCAAGTACGACAGATTTGGTAGCAATGTGTGAAGTTAAAGTGAAACTGTAAGTGAGACCGAATTTAAATTAGTGATCCACAAAGGCTCAGTCAGGCCTTACATTGCTTCAGGGTAAATGCCCATTTCATTATCAGTTACTCAAAACTGATGGCTGAAAACTTTGATTATCGTATGCTCTAGGATTGAATGTAAAACAAAAAAAAAAAGCTGAATTCTGTATTCCCAGATGGGTAAGATTTTCTTGTCAGTTTCCTGGTATTTCTAACTACTGCCCAACTGAAGAAGGGCATAAGGTATGAATGGGAACCATTGCTTATATGAATTAAATACATGCATATAGAATGATTCTCTATTTAGACAAGTCCTGTAAGCAAGAATACTTTTTCTGCAGGGTTGCCACTAGCTGAAGATGTAAGGTGAAGCTGCTGCTTCTCAAGGTTTTAGTGTCTTGAATGGGCAACTAGTTCCTAACTGAAACTTTGTGTGTGTGTGGGGGGAAATGGTTTAAAAAAAAAAAATCTCAGGTACCTTAAAAACATTAAGGTTATATAACAGCTGTTATAATCTCTTATGGTTCTTCAAATTCATTAACCTCGAATTTACAATAGCAAACAAGTTCGGTTTTGGTAACTGTTTTCATAGCTATATCTACTGATTGTCTTTCTTGCCTCCTCCCCCCAGATATTATTTGGTTTGTAGCATAGAGGCACTATGTACTCGGAGTGGAGATCTCTGCATCTCGTCATTCAAAATGATCAGGGTAATACCAGTGTACTTCACAGCTATCCTGAAAATGTGGGGAGAGAAGTGGCAAATGCAGTGGTGCGTCCTCTTGGGCAAGCTTTAATTACATCATCAGTTGGAAGTGAAAGTTTACTAAAAACAGACAAAGAAGTAAGTGCATTTCCTTGAATATTGTAATTTTTCTCATGCTAGAGTGGTCATTTAAATAAAAGAGGCTATAGAAAATAATTTTCTTTAGTAGTCCAAGTTTTTTTTTGAAATGTACTGTATTTTTAGTTTAGTTATCTACATAATGTTTGTGTTAGCAGTCGGTTCATAGCAACAGTGCACTTCGTGACCTAGTAGTGAGTGATGTGTGGTGTTGGTGTTTATCTGAGCTGCTATACCAGGAAGTTCAGGCTAAAGAAGCAGGGTGTTGGATTTGAATTTAGTGCTTAATGCATTAAAGCCTTTGTGGAGTTACCTTTGTTATTGTTGAAGCAACTGTGTGACTTTTTTTTGAAGTCTGGGTGGTATAGCATCTGTATTTATTTACTAGAATTTGAAAGTCTTCTGTTAACATTACCTGATAGTTGTCCAGCTCGTTGTATGTTCTGAAGAGTTCTCTATACAGTTTAGACTGAAGACTTTCTTTGTAAAGTCGTGATACCATATGAAAACAGTAAGTCATTAGTTCCTGTCTACATCAGATAGAAATGCCTGTACTGCATAACTACAGTTACGTTGTTGCATTAGAACCAATGTGCACTGATCATTGTTTACTTGCCCAAACTTACTTTTAATAACTTTCTTTTGTGTTTGCATAGGTAAAATGGACTATGGAGGTAGTTTGTTATGGACTGACCCTCCCTCTGGATGGCGATACTGTGAAGTACTGTGTCGACGTATATACAGATTGGATCATGGCTCTTGTATTACCTAAGGACTCCATTCCTTTACCAGTTATTAAGGAACCAAACCTTTATGTTCAAAGCATTCTCAAACATCTCCAAAATCTCTTTGTACCGAGGTGAGTGTCAGGCTGGTAGTGTTTGGGGTGGGAGAAAGGCACAGGAACTTGGACCCATAGTAAGCAGGTAACCTCTGTCAGAAAAGCCTGATGAGCTGTGCAGACTCCTGGTTAATGTAAGATTGCTGTTGTTGTGAAGTTACAAGGCAGATGTCACTCCGTTCATGTCTTACAGTTGCTGCTGTGTTTAGGTAGTTACAGATTGTTCATAGACACAAATGTTTGCTGTTCTAAGAACTTCATGAACAATCTCTATTATGTGAATAGAGGTGAGAAAAAGATTAAATAGCATCACTGTGTGACCATCTGTTAGTATCGTGTAAAACTGATGATGAAGAGCACATCATGGTAATCCCATGCCATCAGAAGTGTGATCACCTTGTAGTTAGTAACTTCTCAATGCCTACAACTTGCTGCCTGTTGAATAAGCAAAACTGTTGACCATCTTTCACTGGTAACTTTCAAGGAACCCGGCAGAAGAGTGCTTGCTACCTGACAACGTGATGTTACACTAAACATGCTTAGATGATAATGTTGATGTACTTGCTTCTAGCTCTTAGACAAAAAGTTATACTGCCCTGCGTGCCCTCAACATCATATTTGGTGTATAGTTTATTTCAAATGTACCTGGTGATGTTGAACATGTTGGATAAAGGAGATGTTTTAATAGTGCCCTGTGAAACAGTACTTAAATGCTTGCTGTCAGAAATTACTTCTAGTTTAGTACTGGTTTGTAAGTACCAAAGCATGTCCTTTACAGAAGTACTTATGCCATATCACTGCAAGTGGCCTTCAAAATGTTCCTTTGTGCTTGTATTACTTTATCTGAAGGTTGTGTTAATAAAGGGCTTTGAATAGTAATTCATGTAACTTGAGATGAGAAGGTCACTGCAACTTGTTGATTGTTTCAAATTCTACAACCTAACTGAAGTTTTCATTGCTTTTAACGTACACTGGAAAATGATATTTTAATTCCTGTTAACGGATGATCAGGGAACCCACAGGGAATAAATTTGAAGAAACAATGCTTCAGATTAGATTTCAGCAGAAAGCTGTCTCTAGTTATTGACAGTTTCTTGGTCATTGTGTTGGAGATGCCAAGGAAATGCAGATGAACCCAGTCACTCCCTTCCTTGTCTGTTGGCCATTAGCCTAGGCCTGGCTGATGCCTTAACTAGGCTCAGATGGGTTATGGGTTTTGTCATGGGACTCCAATCATGAGAATAAAGTTGGAATTCAATATACAGAAGCCTTCCCTGAGAAGAAAACAAGAACCTGTGACCAAGAAGAACAGAAATAGCGATACCTGCTGCTGTCTTTATACCTTCAGTTTCAAGCCTCAGCACTGAATGTATTTCTGCCTGAGTCTCATATTTTACAGCTAACATTAGTTTCAGATGTCTAAGTATCTTTATGGACCTAACTATTGCAGACAATCCCATCTTTTTGTTACACTGCTGATTCCTTTATCTGAGGTCTTAACTTTTCTGTATGGTACAAGTGTCAAGTCATTGTTTTTCAGTAAATGAGTGTGAAGACTCAGAAGAGTGGTATACAGATTAAATTTACTTTCCTTTATTTTTTTTTTTTGAGCTGCAAGGAAAATGGAAGAGAACTCTTAGTCTCTGCTGCATGTGAATAATTTTAAAAGCCCTTTTATGGTGTGTGTCAGTTCTTTGGACTCAGTCTCATGAAATTCCTTACATGCCTGATAATGTACCAATGAGGTACTAATGCATGATGAGGCTGAAAATTTTTGTTTCTTAAGAAGTCCCTTGATGCAGGCACAAGGTATGCTTTCATTTTAAGCACTGGGTCATCATAATGAAAAATAATGAATACTTTACAATACAATAGTGGTATCAAGAGGTCACTTGGCTACTTACCAGTATAAAGCCGTAGTACAATGAAGTCTAAACACGGAGGTAGAAGTTCCAGATAGCCTCCAGTGAAAGCAGAACTCTTTCAATAGTTGCATCTATGTGTCTAGAATGTCAAAAACAGTGGCCACTGATAAATGTGAAAATTGTTAAAGAATGTCTGTCCTGCTAGCTCTTATACAGCTCTCTAACAGATAGAGAATGAAGTGTGCTCTCTGGGAATCTTTATTCCCTCAGCACAGTGGAGAATGCACTCTTCCTGTGTCCATTAAGTAGTTCTTGCAGTGCTCCCTTGCCCTGCTTTGCACCAGAGGCCTTGTTACCAGGCAGTTTTGTCTCCTGTGTGCTGTTGGCACTACTGCCATTCCACCCTTCTGCTCCAACCTCACTGGTGGAGGCTGAAGCAGGCTGCACATGCTGGCTGTTGAATGAAAGAGTTACCCTACAGATGCAGGGTGACTGTAAACCTGTGTGCCTACATACTCATCACAAAGTATAACCGCTCTCCTGTTCTTCTAAGAGCCCCAATTTGTAACTGAAACACTTTTTTTTTTTTTTTTTTTTTTTTGGTGACTGATGTTGGCAACACTTCATGTTCAAGTTCCTACTCCATTTTAAGAAAAAACTCTTCAGGTTTCTCTTCCAAGGAGCTATAGTCAGAATTAATTCCAGCAACAGGCAAACATGTTATAATGAAGATTAAATACAGCATTGAGTTGTGTGCACCTTGCTTGAGAGAAAAGATAAGCCTGCTGTCCTTTGTGAGTACAGGGAAACGGGAGAATACTACCTGGACTTACCTAATTAATTCAGGGGGCTGGTTCTGATGGGTGCCTGTAGAATGCTTACTCAGGAGCTCTTGTAGCAACCTGCATTGAACTATCTCTTGGAAGTAGCCTGATCTTATGGGGAAATACCAAGCCTTAATTAAAAGCCTATTTCCTATAGAGTTTTGTGATTAAAATAGCTTCCTTCCTTAACCTGGTATCCTGGAACCAATGAGGATGCTTAGCTGCCTTAAAAGTGGTGCAAGCAGAGTTGTGGTAGGGGTTTGAGACTCTGCAGAAGCACAGTTAAGGTGTAGTAAGTGACCCTTAAGGTGGGTCAACTCAAATACCATTTCAGGAATATATATCCAGCAAATACAGAACAGATATGTGTAAGCAATTCTAGTCTGAAAGCTCAAGTAAACCAACTGTTCGTGTGCACAGTCCTTGAAATAGTGTGATGCTAACGAATTAAGATTGATGAAAGGTGAGCAAGTTGTTTCCTTTTCGTCTAGTCTGCCAGACTGAGCAGACAGAGGGTGGTTGCATCCTTCCCTCCAACACTGATCTTCTGTCCACACCTGCAGAAACGAGGGCTTCTTTTCATGATGTAGTTGAGTATTCCCCAAGCAACCCCAAGGCTGCCGATGTCTGACGAACACTATGATATTCAGGAAGCCTTGCTTAAGCAGCAGTGGTGGTTATTACTGTCAGATAAAGTTCTGATATTGCCAACTTTTGTTAGAAGAATGGAAAGAAAGTAGGAAAACTGTTTTCCTTCACCCTGGAACGTAGACATGGCACTGGTGTTTTCTGTCCAGCTAAGATATCTGGAAACTCTTGAGAGGCCATGGGGCATGTGACTTTCTGGTGACTTTTAACTTACACATGAAGGCATGGGAGCGATTCTTGTTGGGTATGAGTGTGGGAACCAATAGGACAGCTCCTGTGGAAATCTTCAGATGTGAGCCTGCAAAATGCTGCCAACCAGCTTGCCATTCAATTGATTTTGTGGAAAAGAGGAACTGATAGATGGATGGGGACTTAGAGTTGCGTCTAAGATTAGCTCAGAAGTGTCCCATTAGTCACATGGAGTTCCTATATGTCAGTCCCTTTACACAAGCTTGCTTGATTCTTAGGGAATCAAGCCTTGAGACAGACTTTGAAACTTCAAGAGCAGCAAAATAAGGGTATTCTTTGAGCTCTGTTGTTGCTTGGGAGAAAAGTAGTGCTATAACCAAGGCAGGACTTGCTTGTCCCAAGCTTTGTGAAATGATCTGGTAGGATAAGCATTGCGGTAGAGCAATCCTCTGAAGCCCTGAACTGCAACTAGTAGTCTGAAACTGTGCTCTAGATACCTTGTTTCTTTGTAATCTTGTTTCCAGTACTGTAATACATTAGTCTATAAAGATAAGAGTGGATTGGATTTTTAAAAAGCATCTGTCTATGAATGATCTCAATGTGAGCTACTAATTTCTAAGAATCAGATTTTTATCTAGTGGATGAGCGTGTTCATGAAAGCCTTACCATGTAACGTGACTTGTGGTTTATACCCCATTAAAAGTGTTTGGCTGGACTCTAGTAATGCTACTTAGTAGTCTGGATGGTAATATCTTCATGATTTTTTTTTTCAGTGAGTGGTAGGAGGGCTTAAGTTTACAGCTTGACATTTCAAGTATACAACTTGAAAAATGGCTTGCATATATTGCACACTTTAATTTGTAATCTGTAATCTCTTTCACTCCTGAAACTTTTAGGCTTGCTCAGCTTTGTTTACCGGTGTCCTGAGACATTTTCAGGAGCACTTCACGTTACTATTCTTTACCCATTCTGCCTTGTATAAACTAACTGGTTGGAAGAGTCTGCTACTTGTGCAATGCTTCACGTCACTCAGCAGTAACAAGGTGTAACTGGTTGTTACAGCAGGGAAAAATGACACTGACAACTTCTATCCTTATCCCATCTTCCTTTGGTCTATTTTGCCTATTTAATAACTCTCTTTATCATTTTTTTCTTAAATATAAGGAATTGGAGGCAAGAGTTGGTTCTAAGTTTTGAAGGAAGAGGTATACTAGGAAGAAGTTAACTCTGTTAATGTTTTCTTCTAATTCCAACACTCGCCTGACTTGCATATGGAACAGTTAGTGATATCCCAACAACATTGATGTTGTTTGTTCTAAGATAGATTCAGCTGGTATAATGGGTTATACTTTGTCTGGTTAAAATGTTTGTTTTTTGTTGGTGAATTCCATGCCATGTAGAAGAATGCATTATAGTACATGTTGTTCTCATTAAGGCAGCATTAGGATGCTCAGAGACAGTTGCAATGCAGAGTTACATGTTCTTGGCTCAAGTTCAATAATGTTGATGTTCTGCTTGTAATTCCTCAAAGTTCAGGTTATTGTACGCATTGCTGTGCAGTGCCCTTCACTTCCTGCGTAGGAACTCAAATAGCACTTTCTTCTTTTGCAGGCCAGACCCAGGATCTAGTCAGATTAGATTGTGCTTGCAGGTTTTGAAAGCTGTCCAGAAACTGGCTCGTGAATCAACAATTATGGCAAGAGAAACCTGGGAGGTTTTGTTGTTATTTCTTCTTCAGATTAATGACACTCTTCTAGCAGCTCCAACTGTGCAAGGTTTGTGTTAAATTTTCATTTGGTTCAATTACTGAACAAAGCTTTGGCTCTGCTGGATGCTGACCTGCCAGGGGAATGGGGGGAGACCTGTTAAAAGCTCTTAGAGTGCAATAGCTCTCATAATTCTGCTACGCTATCCTGAAAGAAAGCCTTGTCAGAAAAGATTGAATGCTTTCTCAGTCAGTTCTCTGAAATGTATTGTTGCAGAACAGCAGACTCTGTACACACACAGAGTGAAGAGATTCAGATAGTATCGTTCCCTATTTGTGTCACTGAAACCTGTATGTGCCTTCCAGTTTGGCCTGCCTACTGGAAAAATCATTATCAGTTTATACCCATTTTAAAATAAATAAATGATATCAAATATTCTTTGTGATGGAAGACAGCCTAAGATCGGTAGCTGAATTCCCAGTGTATCTTAGTGACACACTCACGGCTGGGTTCTGTGCATTAATTTTGGTCTTTCAAAAAAAGGAAAAAAAAAAAGGAAGAAAGTTAATTGATTGCAGGAAGTCATCAGAAATCACTCAAATGAAAAATTATATGAAAATTAATCTTTATGCAGTTATTGCTTAAACTGAAATCTAAATTTGTGAGATGTAATCGTGACATTTGTGAGAGTGCTTTAAGGTTGAAATATTCTTTGGAGAGATGTCTGAAGTTATTCAGATTGAGTGCTCACTAAAGGCATGCTTTGTTTCTGCTGATAGGTGGCATTGCTGAAAGTCTGGCTGAAAAATTAATTGGCGTGCTGTTCGAGGTGTGGTTACTGGCTTGTACACGATGCTTCCCAACACCACCTTACTGGAAAACTGCCAAAGAGATGGTGGCCAACTGGCGACATCACCCTGCAGTAGTTGAGCAGTGGAGCAAGGTCATCTGTGCCCTTACTTCCAGGTAGGAGAAATCCCACGGAAATATACACCTGCTGGGATAATTGCAGCTTGATTTTTCTCTGGAGTTGCTTATTTGTGGAATGCACAGTGATCCCAGAATGAATGAGCAAACCGAAATGCGTAATAAGAGATTTTGCGAGTATTCTTGACTCTTACTGTTCATAGAATCATTTGGGTTGGAAGGGACCTTAAAGATCATCTCACTCCAACCCCTCTGCTCTCTCTCCCAGTTCATTTACCACATGTAAACCAGAAAATGTTACCTCTCAAATAGTCTTAAATTACCGCTTGCTAATTCCCCATGAGATTTTATGTACCTGTATATAGTACGTTTTCCCATTTCAATTTCCATCAGTAAACAGCTGGTATCATAGATGATCTATGATCTGTTCTTGACACAGTAGACTAAGACTTTTAAAGTGGGATAAGATGCTAAGTTTGAAAGCCCCTGTTGTAAATATATGTGTATACACACAGCTGTACACACATGTTCAGGCATGTATGTCTTCATTCTGCAAGTGAAGATCTAAATTGGTTCTTATTGGTTCTTGTTACTGTATGATCTGAGCATTTCTCTGATAATCAACACTTTTCTTTGTGTATGTATATCAGTCTTCATCACTGACTTCTTCATCATGTCTTGTGAGGAATGAGTCATTAATATTACAATTGTGTAGTATTATCATCTGTACATGTACTGACAGCCATCACCAAGCTTACTAGGTGCTTGTTACTGCTGAGCAGTGTCTGTGTGTTGCTGTGTTTGAGGTGGCTCCTTGAGCTCTGCATCTCCTGCTCTCCAGAGCTGAGGTGATGCTCCCCTGGCCATGGTGACGTGATGAGCCAGGGACAGGCTGCAGTCTCCTTCCCCCATAGTGGGTCTCAAGGAGAGCAGTATCAAGCCACACTGGGCATTGGAACAGGAGGATTGGGGGGCTGTAGGAGAGGATAGGCTGTGGCAGGAGGCCCTAAATAGAGGAGAGAGCCTCAGAACCCTTAATCATGGGGTCTTTGTGGTGTGAAGTCTTGGTGGGACAAATCTCATTCTCTTGGAGGAGAAAACTTGATTGATTGAGGAGCAGGGACATTGGTCACCTTTTCTCAGCTCTCCTTAGACTTCAATAATCATTTGTATGAAAGTTTGAAAATGTATTAAAACTGCTGCATTGTGAAACATTCAGTGGTATGCCTTTCCGCAAGGGTTTATTTAGCTTGGTGAAAACTTGCTCTTTAATTGCTTTTTTAAAAAAGCAAGTGTGGATGGATTTTTCCAGGTTATGCAGCTACTTGTTAAACCTGTGGGAAATAAAGCTGCAATACAAGTTCTGTGTATTTCCCACGTTTTTTCTTCAGCTATTTTTAGTTCATTAGATGTAGCATTGCATAACAGAAAATATTTTATGATTCACTGATCTCAAAAGCACAGCTCTGTCTCCAAACATGCGTTGGTGTTCTGTTCCATGTACCTCATGCTCACATTTTATCTTCCACTGTTGACTAACAGTCTTAGTTCTGTTGATGCATAATCTGCAGGGATTCTGTAATGTTGTAGTCTGCTGTTCTGCTGCATAGTAATGTTGGTTTACATCTAATTCACAGAAAACTGAACTCTGATGCTAACTTTACATTTAGTTGTATTTTAAGCTGTGCTTTTAGTACTCCAGCTTCAACCAGTTAAAGTGCTGTTTTAGTAAACAGTTGTCTGAATTGGGCTTTCAGCAATAAACTTGTAAGAGTCTCAACTTAAAACTACATGGAAAGCTATATTTGGAATTCTGTACACACATGCAGTGTTAGTCTGTATCCATGGGTATGACTTCATAGCAGAATAAAAGTTTCCTTCTGCAAGCAGAAGTGCAGGGCACAACTTTGCAAGGCGTAAGCCCAGGCTAACACCAGACTTCATGAGGTTGTTTGGAACCAGGTAATTCCTCAGCAATACCCTACAGGGTGATCCCTCTGGGGCACAAAGTGTAAATGGGTGCTGAGGCATCCAGCGTGGCATACTGGAGAGCAGTTACTGCCTGGTAGTAGGTACGTTTATTTCTATTTTGGTCCCAAAGAAGGCCGCTTGTCCTAAAGCTCATTGGCTTGTCTAGATGACTAGTCCCTGTGATAGACCGGGGCTCCCTATGCACTTTGGCTGTCTTTTGCATTAGTTGGTTGCCAGTTACTGAGTTCTCAATGCTGAGAAAGAGAAAACAGGAACTCAGCTTACCCACGGCTGGATGTTAAACTAAGAGTTAGACTTCTTTTCTCCCGTCACCTAGTTGTAATGTTTTTACTTTTGTAAAGTATACAGCTTGTCTGAAGCTCTGCAGGTGGGCAGTGCTGAATTGGGGCATTTTGTGTCCATTAACAAGCACTCTTAGTTGAGAAATAAGGATGTGAAAAATGGTACTACGAGAGAGTTTGGCTTAGGGAAACCAAAAACTGGTCAGGGAACATCAGGAGTTTGAGAAGGCACCGCTCAGCTCTCTTCCATCCTATTAGGGAATGCCAGGATTATGTTGATCAGGGAAATGAGCCTGGAAGTTTGCAAAGTTGGGGATAAAGCAGGAGTCAAATCAGACAGAAGTGGCTCAGAGAAGCTTACCATAAAGATTTTAGTTTGCTTATCTAAGCCATTATCTTCATGATACTGTATTGTGTTTAAGTCCTCTATGGGTTTCCCCTCCACTGTTCTGCAATTCTCAGATTCTGCAAAAGAAAACTCCTTTTTCCTTTTTTTTCCCCCTCTTTGAAGAGGTTGCTATTTTGTGGATTGCCATCCTGTGCTTGTTGCAGGATTGCATTGAGTATTGTTAGTGGGCTGGTGTAAATCTTGAGTCATCGGTGCTTTGTAATTTAGACTTATAACCTGATGTGACTTGTTGACGTCATTGGACACTTCAGCTAAAGAACCTTGGGGATAAGGGCTTAAGGTCCTTGATTATTATTTCTTTTGTCCTTGTTATGTAATGTTTTGTCACTTACGTATGTGCCTATGTTAGTTAGCAACTCCAATGGCTAAATGCATGGGAGAGCTGCTGTGGGGTGTTATGCTTTAACAGCTCTTTAATTTGCTTGAACCTTCAGGCATGCTCCAAGGCAGGTACAGGTACCCTTCCCAGCTTCAAGGAGGCTAAAAGATCGTATAAACTAGATTTCTCTAGGAAGATTTAAGATGTTGCATTGCTGCTCATGGCCTCCTGCTGATTTCTTTGAGGCTCCAGTGCACAGTTAAATTTTGAGGAACATTAACTAAATGACAGATTTATCTGATTTGCTCTCTAGATTGCTGCGTTTTACATATGGACCTTCATTTCCTCCATTTAAGATTCCTGACGAAGATGCTGGTCTGATCCCTCCTGAAATGGATAATGAGTGCGTTGCACAAACCTGGTTTCGCTTTTTACATATGCTGAGGTATTATAATTAATCATCCATTGTTCACATTCTTACGTTATTTTTATAACATCTTGAAATAAAAAAAATCTCTGGAGATTGCTAAGTTTAATGTACTTAAGTAGAATAAAGTGAGAGACTTGTACCAGTGCCCTGTAGCAGTCCAGTGCAAGGTCATGAGTGGGTTGTTCCACTTCAAACAAACCAGTTTGCATTCTGAGTCAATGAGTTCAATAAAAAATGTTTTCAAGATCCTCCAAAATGCCAAATAGCTAAAAACAAGACTTCAATAGAACTCTGTTTCTCTGAGATAGCAAACAGGAAAAGCAGAACAATAACTCTGAGATGTATACTGCTTCCATTTGCTTTCCAGGGTGTTAAATTTAACCTACAAAAGATTATTTTTAAAATGGATGTATCTCTTTGTTTTTATGAAGAAAGTTACATGGCTAGTTTTAACATGTATAGTACTCTTCCTTAAATTTGCAACAGAACCAAGTGGCATGCTTTATTCAAAGGATTCTTGGGAAAGGTATAACGTTAATGTCCTGAATTGATAGAATATTAAACTTTAATTAGTAAATAATGTTTTACATAAAAACCTAAATGTCAGACTGTTTAAAGCTTGCCTTTTTTTAACTAATCAAAAATCCATTCTTTTTCTTAATTTATGATAGGTAATGTTGCAAGTACTGTAAATCTGGTCTTGCTGTTACAGGATTTGTGTTTGTCAGGGAAAAAACTCAAATTTTTACATCCCATTCATTTCCTAGTTATTTTTTGCTGGCAATATGTAATTCATTGCTTACTGTTTATGAATGATTTTAGCAGTGTAAGAACCTCTTACAAACATAGTTCAAAAGACCTCATATACAGTTAATGTTATGGAACTGTGGCATTACTCTCTAGTGTATGTTTCAGTTCATTGAGTATTAATAAAATTATAAAGTCTATTTGGGTAATATTTGAAGCTTTCTAATTTTTTCTTTTATAGATACATGTTTAAAATAATTAATATATATATATATATATTTTTAATGCTTAAAGACTACTACCACTACTACCAACTCAGTAAGGAAAAATTGACTACATAAAAAGCTACAAAAAATCTCCAATAGAAAAATGCTGGGACAAGATGCTGACATTTGGAGTCTTTTATCTGATGTTTTTGTGTTCCTGTTAATTAATTGCCTTCAACTATTGCATCGTTAAGCATTCTTAATATCTGTTCTTAAACTGACTAAAATATATATTTCTCTCTTTTGTGTCTGCATAGTAATCCTGTGGATTTGAGTAACCCAGCCATTATTAGTTCTACCCCCAAATTTCAGGAGCAGTTTCTGAATGTGAGTGGGATGACTCAAGAACTGAATCAATACCCCTGCCTTAAACATCTGCCTCAAATATTCTTTCGTGCCATGCGTGGGATCAGCTGTTTAGTGGATGCATTCTTAGGTAACACGTTTGACTTACCTGTGGATAGCTACAAATAGTAACCTAATCCTTTTTTGTTCTTTTCAAATCTGTATTCTTCAGAAAACAAATGTAGCAATTTATCCTTAGCAAATATATCCTGGAATTGATAGGGAAGGGACCCACAGCCACTTTTAAATGACCATCTGTGTACACAGTAATTACATTTGAATGCATAAATTTGCAGGTAACCTTAATTTAAAAAAAAATGCAAAGAAAAATTAACTTGAGTTCAACATACATCTTTCTCAAATAGGGCTTCTTTCTCTCATTGTCTAACCAATAGTACAAGTGTTATGTTTTTAGCATGTTGTGAACACTGATGACTTTGTTTTTAAACTTTGTGGCAACAGCTGTGTGCAGTGCCCCTTTTCTTGTAAGGTGTTGATTTTTGACTGGCATCTTTAGTTATTTATACTATGACTGCGACTTCCACTTAATTTAGGATTAGTGGGTGACTACTACTGCTGAGAAGAAAAATCTATTTCTTTGAACAACTCGGTTACCAGCAGACAGACTTCACTGAAAGGCAAGGCAGATGTAAACACTGGCTGGTAATTTTTAAGTAATGCTATACAGTACTTGAAATCTAAGGCGTCATTCTAAGTACTCTTCAGGCTTATTGAAAATTCTTCAGAAATAATGTGCTATTGTAAACTCCGAAGAGCTGCCTGTCTCCTACTGCTTTTTTGCTTAAATGTCTGCAAACAAATGCTGTCATCTGCCAGAAGTGTGAGCTGATAGGAGACTGCAGAAGACTTGAACAGATTAATAAAAACTTCAGAAAAAAAGAAAATGGCTGTGAAATTAGACTGTCATTGGTAGTGTATTCCCCACTGCAAAAAAGCTTTTGTTACTATAGTTCTCACACTTGTAGGAATCATAGAATGTCCCAGGTTCGAAGGGATGCATAAGGATTATTGAGCCCAGCGCCTGAGTCCCCAAAGAACCACCCCCAAAGAACCAACCAAAACCAGACCATTTGTCTGAGACCATTGTCCAAACACTTCTTAGACTCCAGCAGGCTCAAAGTCGTGACCACTGCCCTGGTGTCCAACGACTTCTTGGTGGAGAACCATTTCCTGATATCCAGCCTGAACCGCCCATCTTGCAGCCTCAAGCAGTTTCCTTGGGTCCTAGGATTGTTTAAAAGGTTACTGAATAATAAAGAGCAATTCCACAAATTGTGACTGTTCTAGAAAGTTTTTGAAGTTACTGCTTAGACTGTCATCATGAATCTTGAAACCTATTGTGTCCACTGTGATTGCTTTTCAGTAACACTAGATGTGAGATTTTAAATATTCATTAGTCTATCAGATGCTACCCGAATTTTTGAAAGGAAGATTGTATGTAGGCAAAATGTGGCTTCACCTCAAGAAAACCATCTCCTTGTATTACGCTGTCAAACTGTCTTCCTCTCTGTGATGGTAGGACTTGACTGTCTCCACTGAAACAATAAAATAAACATGGCCAACTGTGCATTGACAGGGAGAGAATCCTTCCTGTGCAGCACTTTTTTTTTTTTATTTAAAAAAAAGGCTTTTAATTATAGCATGCATTGAAGAAAACATACTATAACTGGGGTTTTCGTGAAGCCTGGGTTGGTAATTAATTTTGAGTGTACAAAACAGTTTGTAATGAAAGGCTTGTGAGAAGAGCAGAGGGAAGTGCTGTGGGACTGTCAGCTTTGCACAGTACCTTTGCTGTGTGTTTCCTACAGGGAATGTCTGTTGGCCCTTAAGAATAGTTTGGGTTTCTTGTCTGAGATCTTTACCAGTGGCATTGCAGTTGGTCTTTAGTGGCCTGCATCTGGGTGTCCAAGACTCCATTTGCACCTGGGCAGTGGCGATGAGCCCTCAGGTGTGCACATGCTCAGCCTCTGTCTGGGGGAGGAAGGGGATCTGGGACTGAGGTTTGCTGTGTTGCTGAGCACTTCCACGGGCTCCTGCCAGTCCTGACTGTGCTGCAGGCACACCAGGACCTTTTCTCTGTATGTGAACTTCTGGTAGGATGGTGAATTGGAGACTTCAGGCTTCTGAAAATCTGTTGTAGGAAGACGAAATGCACAGTGTGCTTGAAAGTCCAGCACTCAGGCACATCAGAGCTTTCAGAGAAATCAAATTCAAGCTCTGCGTGGATGGACACACACACAGGGTGTTGTCAGGCACATGAAGGAGTCCACGCTGCTGCTCTAACAACAAAGGCTAATGAGATCTCATTACCTTCTCTCTCTCTCTATATATATACCTTCTAAACAAGTGCCAAAGCACATTGTTTTTATCTTGCTTTCTCTGACGTAGTTAGGTAATGCATGCATTTGACAAAATATTGCACCATCTATTAAAAAATAAATAAATTATACCAAAGTGATAGTTTCATAGGGCGTACATTACCATTTGCTTGGGGAGCAACAGTGATGAGAAGTCAGTTTTTTAATGTATATGTTAAGCATTGAGGTGCTTAATGTAGTCAAATCTCTGTCAAATCTTCAGACATGCTGCAGTTTTGCACTTAATTCTTCAAGTGGGGTTAGAGGGCAGTGATATTCATATGGGAAGAAGTGGTGTTTGTTGCTGCAGATTTTGCAGAGGAAATTTCTAAGCTAGTTGCTTCTGATTCTGTGGCTAGGAGGAGAAGCTCTTATATACCACAAATACTTTCTTGAATCTATGTTTTATGAGGTGACTGATCTAACATCCTGCTACTGTAAGATTATAGCTTGCTCAGTTTTCTTACCCATCTCTTGCACTGGCTTTAGTATTTGTTCAGGGAGCTGATTGATCTCACTGTTAACCATTTACTTATCTAATACAAGCAGGGTTTTCTTTTGTTTGTGCATTTATTTTTGCTAACAGTAAAAGGGGAAAGGTGTTTTTCTTACTATTGCTGTCTTTGGGAGTGGGGAGAGGGAGAAAAGCTAGTCTATTTACAGAAGGTCCAAAGGCTGAGTAACTGTGCTGCTGTGTATGAGCTTATGGAATTCTTGCTGAAAGCTTGCTTTATTTCTTGATCTACAGGCATTTCACGACCGCGGTCAGACAGTGCACCACCCACGCCAGTAAATAGGCTGAGCATGCCCCAGAGCACTGCTATCAACACAACTCCGCCCCATAACCGAAGGCATCGGGCAGTGACTGTGAATAAAGCAACAATGAAAACCAGCACTGTAAGATTTTGTGTTCCGTATTTAAGTTCTTATCCCATTTGATAGCTTCCTCGGTTAGAGGAAGTAATTTATTTGTTTCTAGGAGCTGATTTGTTCTTCTGTTCAAATAGGTAACTACTGCACATGCTTCAAAAGTGCAGCACCAACCCTCTTCTACTTCCCCACTCTCCAGCCCAAACCAGACAAGTACTGAGCCACGGCCACTACCAGCTCCTCGCAGGCCAAAGGTTAACAGCATCTTGAACCTCTTTGGATCGTGGTTATTTGATGCAGCATTTGTTCACTGTAAACTTCATAATGGAATAAACAGAGATAGCAGCATGACTGGTAAATATTACTGCAAAGTATATGTACATTATTTTCCTTGTTTTATTAACATTTCCTACCTGCAAGATTAACATATGCATAATCAGAAAATAAAATCTAAAGTGCTGTATTGTGGTTAACCCCTCCCAGCTGAACTGACACCTGTTATTAGCCCAGCAGGTGTTTGGGGGCTTTAAAATTGAATAAATCACTTTTCACTGTTAAACACTCACTTGCTCTAACAAGCATGTCGGTCCCAATTATGCTAGTGGGAAAAATGTTATAAAGTGAAAGAAAATAATGTATTAAGAGTCCATTTCCTAATCTGATATCTACCACAGTAGCTTGCAGAGCAATGGCAGCTTTTTTGGTGACTCTTTAATGTTTGAAAAATTGTCAAACCTCACTCAAAATATTGCATAAAGTGATACTTCTTGGTTTTGGAGAATGTTGTGAAAACAGATAATCCTTAAGATAGCAAGTAAAGTTGCTTCCTTTCAGTGATGGTTGTTACGTGTTTTCATATGCAGCTTGATGCTTTGCTTGTCTTCACTCCTCAGTTGCTAGGTTGGTCTCCTATGCTTTGCTCAGCTCTAAAGGTTAGATGTTTTGAGATATGATAGGAGAATAAGTGCTCTGCTCAGAGGCTTTCAAACACTCTCCTTCCTTTAGAGATAAGTATTCAAAAAAGAGTAAACTTTCTCAGTCCTTGCATTTTTCCTGTTGTGTAGTATTTTGCGTGTCTGCTAAACTTTCCCAAGAGAAGCTCCATCAGAAGCTCACTGGCCAAAGTAAGAAAAATATGTAGAGGTACATTGTAGCAAGTTGTATGTAGTAGGATTTGATATCAGCAGTTGGACTGATAAACTTCCTTGTTCACTGCATCACAAATCCCATTCTTCCTCTGCATGGAGATGATGAATTTAGGATTAGCTATCTCTTAAAGATATTTTTAAGTATGCAATACATGTTTTTTGGAAGTGTTCAGTCATGGATTTCTGTGGCAGGAGGTTCAGGTCCCTCTGAAAAAGCCCTGTGATATATTACTAGAGAAACAATTGAGATTAGGAAGGAATAAAGCATAATTCAAGGGTGTATGCAGTTGCATATGTGGCTAATACATTTCTGTACTTACTGCTTTTCAGACTGATCTGATCATTTTTTTTACATAACTTATATCTTGAGCAACTTCAATCAGGTGTTTAACCTGCCAAGGATATCAGCTGAGATACTGCTTATGCAACAAAGTGTCAGCTGTTAACAGAGATGCTGTGGCTCTAACAAAAGTACACAGTTGTCCAAAATCAAAATTGACTTCCTTCAATGAGTTTCAGGACTGCCTTTTCACATATGCAGTATTTTAAGTACTCTGACAGCAGTCAGAAGATTGTCGTATGGCTATCCTTATAGAGGGCTTTACTATCTTCCTAAACCAAGAAATGTAAACGTACATGCAGATTTGTAGCAAATTTTTATCCCCAGTGCTTTTCTACTGGGAAAGGAATGGAAGGAAAAAAATATGTTCCCTCTCTGAGCTCTTCAAACCAACCAATAATGGGATCAGGCTTTGCACATCACACATTCTGCCATTTATAAGGAGCAGTAGGTTTGGGAGAATTGCACTGATGGAGACCGAAAACCATCTGTCTTCTGTCCTGCTTTTCTAGCAGTTTGGAAGACAGAATTGACTGACAGAATTCGTTTGAGCATTTGCATTGCCCTTTCAACATGCCATGAGTATTGTTACCACTATGTAAAGTATTGTTCATAGCACTGTTGTGACAGGCCATCAAAAGGAGAGTGATGCTCCCTGGAACTCTGTAGAGAGGCACCAAAGTCTGATTGCCTGATTTAATCTTTTGGAGGTCTGAAAGTCAGCTGCTCAACCTCTGTCTTAAGCAAGAAAATGTGGCAAGACTTCTTCTAAAGGTCTAGGCTCCTGCAGTTTCTGTTGACTTGAAGTATCAACATCCTTGAAGTCAGGTCTAAGTTGAAATTGGAGTTTGTTTTCTAGGAGTCTAATCTATGAAGCCTGATGCCGCCACATGATATCTTCTCCTTGAACTGTGTAAGGCAGAAGGTGCTGTGCTGGACTGATAAAGTGGGCCAAGAGGACTGTGTACTCTGGTCCCTTTCCATCACAGAAGGGGTACCATCAGATCTTGGTTTTGTGCCCATTCACCTGCTCGTTCTACCTAATACAGGTGTGGCATGAGGAAAGGGCTCGTGCCCTTTCCTTTCCAACTAGCCCACAGGCTAGTTGTCACAATCCCTACACGTAGGGGAAAGGGCTAAAAGAAATCTTGGTGCATGACTTGGTACATGCATTGTGTATTATATTTACAAATGCTTTAACTAATATTTTGTAATTGGGAAGTGTCTGCACTAGCTTTGCTGTGTAATACTGTCTTCCCCCTGGCCCATATACACACCATATTTCTTTAAGGTCTGGGACTGCAGTTGTGTCAGATTTCAACAGTTGTAAACCCCTCTAACATTCAATTTGTTTCAATGCCACACAGTTAAGAATTTCTTCTTTAATGGCTCTCTGCTGTGATTTGTTTTCTTGCTGACTGGAGGATTGAGGGCTGCCTTGCTGTGTCAGAGAAAGAGGTGAACTACCTTCGTGGAAAAGAGTCTCTTTAGGACCAAGAAGATCCCTCTGCCCTGGCACACCTTTCTGGAACACTGCATTTTCTAGTGTGTTTTTCAGTCCTGAGAAGTGACATGAATTTTCAATGAAAACCTATATAATGGGTCTAAAGAGATCTTCATGAGCTATGTGGTAGTGCTTAACAAGAAACTCTGTAGGATGAGATGCAGTGTCAATTTCTACTTCAGAATTTAGTCTAGTCTTTTAAGCGATCCCTGCTGATTCACATGGACATAGCACATTTTCCTTCTCCCATCTTACAAGAAGTCTTTCTAGTGTGCTTTAAGAAATAAAGAACAGTTGATCAAAGCCCATGTGAATGAGTAGACATCTGCTTTGTGCTTTTCTCTTTGCCGTGGTGCCTCTTGTCTCTGATTTCTTGAACTCTTTCACCTCCAGAAGAGCAAGAAAAATGTGTCTGAGGTGGGAAAAATGTGCAACTCTTTATAGGTTCTGAGCTGAAATATACCTGGATGGATAGGAGAGTACCCCATCTTGCTCTAGGTGACCCTGCTCAGAGCCCACCTAGGTGATCTTTGGATGTCTCAACCTCAACTGTTATGCAGTTCTGTGAATATAACTACCACCCTACTCTTTCCAATTTTCTTTTATTGATGTGGGGGAAAAACAACAACAACAACAACAAAAAACACTTGTACTAATCCTGAATCCTGGAAGGATTGTCAGAGGTATTTCACATTTGTGGTTGCGGTGATTTAGTCTTTGTCTCTGGGAAAAGAGAGATTGCAGAATTTTCTCTTCCATGAGTTTAGCTGCACTGTGTAATCTGTGCATGGTTGAGTGCCAGTGGAGTTTCGTTATCTGGAAAGCAGTCTTCCTGTTTGCTCTGAGTGTTGTCCTTCCAGATAGTCTTGTGTAGTTGTTCGGATCCTGAAGCGAAACGAGGATCTTGCCATCATCAATGCTAATACTCTTGTGCCTCAAGCATCCTGTGTCAGTTCTTAGTTTCCGCGCTGAAATCTTTAATGGTGAAGCTTCATGGCTTTATGTCAGGCAGCTAATAAACATTATTCTGTATTGTGGGAGGAGAGGAAAACAGTTTTAAAATGTGCGTTTTCCTTTGGAAGGACTTCGATCTTTCTTGTATGCAGAATTTGAATGTAGAATTAGATGGCTGTGTGATATTTATTTAAGTACAAGCGTGGCCTGAACAGCTCCCCATGATTAAATGAATAAATTCCTTAAGAAATGCAGCAGGAAGGTTTTATGAAGACATCCCTGAATGTCACAGCTCTGGGGTATGTATACATGTGTTGAGTTTAAGGTCATTGACAGGATGTGTGTCAGGACAAGCTAGGTCATGCAATGGAAGCTGCTGATAATTGCTGTCTTCAGCAAACGGTGAGAATTGGGAGAAAGTCATTAATCTCGTGTCCGTATTTCAGCAAGTGAATCTTCCATTTGGATGGGCTTGTTCTTAATCCTTGTACCTAAAGAAGTCGTGGGTTTGCTAGCCATGTGTTGTAAAGCACCTGGGGGAATTTTGCTGTGGGTGGTTGCTGATATCACCTGGGTGCTGTTGGGCATTGAAGGAATCTTGGAGTACAGTTTAAGCCTCATCTCTTTTGTCCCTTCTGCTGTTAATATATTGCCTTAAACACTGCTTAGGGGAGGTCTAGGAGCCAACTGTGATAATCCCTGATTAGGGAAATGCTGAGTGTTTCTGAGAGGCTTGGTGCAGGTCTTGATCTGACCCAGCATGTTCAAAGCAGCAGCTTCTCCAGGATAGATAGGTGTCTGTTGTGGTTCCTGGCTTCTGCAGTTTTTCCTCTCTCCCATCTGTTTCTGGAGATTGTTTCTGAGATGTTGATCTCTTTAGTGGTGCTCTGTCTTTTAATTCTGCTTTGGGAGGCTGTCTGTTGAGCTGGTGGTCAGGGGAGGCATGCTCGTGCTGTTAAGGGTTGTTAGCAGCTTGGCTTATGATGGACAGAGCAGTAATGCTATCAGGAACATGTATTTTGGAAGCTTATGGTTAAGGAGTCTCTGTAGGTAAGTAATCTTCCCTTTACGAAACATACCCCAAGTAATATAATCTAGGGAAATGTACTTGAGCTGGGAAGGGTTAATACATCCTTTTAAACAACTGATGTACATTGATATGAACAGATCTAAATCTTATTAGTATTTTGTAACTTTTTGTTCATTGTTTTGCATGGTACTTTCAAAACCATAGTTTTGGACCTGAATGCCAATTTCCTATGTGTTTAACAAGCTTGCTATTTCATAAAGCTTTTAATCTATTTTTTAAAAAAGCTAAGAGCTTCTTAACTTATATTACAATTTCACCATCTTAAAAGTATTTTATAACTACTGCTGTCCTTTGATTTGTTTCCATTTTATTTCTATTATCTTGCAGCATCTTTTATCCAAATTCTTCTTTCTTATAAATCTTGTAAGTAGGAACCAGTAGCTTTTCCTTAATTGCGGTCATGCTTTTCTTTTTCCATAATCCCATGTTTTATTTGTAAATTCATTCTCATTGTCTCTTGTAGCTTTTGCACTTTTACTTGAAAAAGACAAGTAACTTTTTGTGTGTGTTTTTGAATGGGGAGGATTGTTGGCAAAAGCAAATTAATCTGCCTGAATCAGTCCCATCTTTTATGTATTTTAGTCTGTGATCATGTCATGAGTTTCAGGACTTTGCACTAACCATGTGTTTTTTATTTTTTTATTTTTGTTTTTGACTTAAAGCTTATTTTACAGACCTAGTGTTTGATTTGTATGCATTGTGCATGTAGTGTTTTTTTCCAACTACAGTATATTGCTGGATAGCTTACTTAGGACAAAAAATGGCTCATGGGAAGATGCATAAAGATTTGTGCTTATTTACTACTTACGCAATGAAAATTTGTAAGGTAACAGCAAGTTAAACCATGAATTTAAAGACAAAAATTATAAGTAGACACTTGTCATTAGAGTTTATTTTCAAAAACAACAATGGGAAATAAACAAAAATATGATTCATAAATTTAAATTATAAAGTATTCCAAATGTCAAAGTGTCAAAGTCTTTGTTTGCAAGACTGATTGTGAACCTAATAGTCCCCAGTGTCCTAGGCTTGAGATAGAGTAAGCTTTCTGGTACTGGTAGAGTTATGTTAGCTTGATTTATTAGGAGCACACATTATTTGTTCTGTTTAGTTTTGTAGCTTATAAAATTTCTGAACGTCAACGTAGTCTTACCTAAGAATTAGAAGGAATGTGCTCTTTCTGCCATTAGTAATCCAACAGTGAATTTTGACTTTTTTTCCTTTTCTTGGGCCATGAGGACGTTATCTGTTTTTTTGGTTGCCATTCCAGAAGAAATGATGAAGTCAGCAAAATGAGTAGTCTCTTGCATCATATGCATGTGATACTGATGTTTGAAAGGAGTACTGGAAATCTTTCTAAAAAAAACATGAATTTAATTGGCTTGGGCTGGCAGAGCCATCCTGCAGGAAGAAAGCAGGAAGAGCATAAAGCAAGCAGAACCAAATCCTGGTTAGGTAACAGTGGTCCCTCAAGACTTGTGCAGTGCACACTGTGGGATAGTCTGTGAGTGCATAGGAGAGGACCTTCGTGGTAGCTCCCTTCTGGAAGTTATCAAACCCCAGGACTCTTGAGAACAGAAGGACCACATCAGGAGAGTGGAATCTCAGCAAGCTTCTCTTTCCGACATGGGTCCTTTAGAATTCTTGTGTGTTTTTTTTTTTAATGTGTTTTGTGTTTATGCAACAAAATGGAATCAAAGCAGCTTGATGTTCAGAGCAAAGCAGGAGATTATTTAGCCAGTTGCAAATTAAGCACTTGTGTGGAAGTGGTAGTAATGGCACCGTCAAAAAGTTTTTTCATATTTTAACAGGGCAAGGAAAGGTGATGCTTCATTTTCTGGAGCTGAGAACTAGATGAAGAAGATCCTTGTCCTCTGGAGATGATAGGGAGTTAATGCTGGGTGCAAGGACACTCTTCCCAACAGAAAGTTGGGATTGGCTTTTGGTCAGCACTTCCCATCGTTAAAAAGGAAAAAAAAATGTTATACCCTCAAATAGCTTATAAACAGAGGCACTGACTTAAATATAGTAAACTAACAGCTTCATGATAACTGCTAAATTTGACTTGATCTTTGTGTCCAGGATCCCATGAGCCTATTATGTATGTTGACAAATACAGTGAGACACTGTTTTTTCTTTTCCCAGCTATAGCAACTCAAGCTAGCGTGGAGTTTCGCCGGAAAGGATCACAAATGTCCACAGATACAGTGGCTTCCAACCCTATGTTCGATGCCAGTGAATTCCCAGACAACTATGAAGCGGGAAGGGCAGAGGCATGCGGGACACTGTGTAGGATATTTTGTAGCAAGAAGACTGGGGAGGAAATATTACCAGCTTACTTATCCCGGTACTGACCTATCTTCCAGTTGCTTTATTGGTGTTCTTTTATGGCGCAAAGTAATTTGCAGTGATTAGCATGCAGTTATGGTCTGAATCCTGTGTTGCTAACTCTAAAAGCATGGTTAGCCTGCAGATGGGGTAGGCAGAGATCCCTCTCTTAAGGGAGCGTTGGCTCCCTTTTGTTTCCTTGCAGTGCTGGTTTTCACTGGGGCTTTCTTCAAGGTCTAGTCGAAGGGAAGACCTTCAGACTGCCTCCCAGCTGGAGGGAACCTTGTCTTTTTGGGACTTCCTTACCTCATGCATTCTTGAGGGTTTTTTAAACTTGCCATTGAACACTGCTATGATGGACAAAAGCGTGCAGACATGAAACTTTCTATGCTTTATTAGACCATAAAGGGTCTTGTGTTGTCAAACAACACTGATTTTCTTAAAAATATTTTTACATATAAAAATGCACTAATACTCCATTGTTTAAAACAGTTGTGTTCTGAAATAACCTCAATTTTCAATTTTATTTTTAATAAAATAAGGCAGTCCTACCTATCATAGTGCTTCTTTTTCCATTTTTTGTTAAAAAGTGCTGAAACAAATGCTAGAGGCAGAGAATCAACTTTATAAATCATAACTCTTAAGCTGTTCAATTATGTTTGTCATAGATGGTGTCAAAACTTCCTTGCAGACTGAGCCATGTATATATTAGACTGAGTTCATGTATATATTAGATGGTATCTTTCAGTCAGATTCCTCTGTTTTGTAATTTATTTTTTTCTCAGAAAAAATAAAGGGGACGTAAATGCTCTTTTACCAAGAAACTGTAGAGGAATGGCTGGCTAGATGAGTTGGTTCTGCCCCTGTGATTTTTCATTTCAAATAGTTGGTTGATATATTCAGTCTTGCTTTCCAAATGCTGTAATTGCTGATCAGTGTTGTTCTTCCCCTAAGGATTTTGCAGTAATCTTCTGTTAGGAAGTTACAGTCAAGATCTCATTTAGATCCTTACACGGGGAAGCGAGTAGTGTGGGGAGCACGTTCAAGCCCTGGTAGCAATCATCAGCGCTGTATCTGCAGCAGCTCCCATGCCCTGTGTTGCAACAAGTCAGATGTTTCAATAAAGCTGTCCTCTGCTGTTTTTTCATATGAAACGTGTGATTTGTGTGGCTATTTTTTAAGCTAGTGCAGTGTATTTGCCTGTGCTAACATAACTTATGGGAATGTTTATATAAACTTCTCTTAACTCTGATTTTGACACTTAATCTATGTGGATAAGATCAAGTAGTTGCTGCACATTCTTGTTCATGTAGGATGCTGATATTTTTTTATGCGCAAGTAATTCAATCTCATCTTTCTTTGTCAGATTTTACATGCTTTTAATTCAGGGTTTGCAGATAGCAGATTTCGTTTGCCACCCTGTTCTTGCCAGTGTTATTCTCAACTCTCCTCCTCTGTTCTGCTGTGACCTGAAAGGGATTGATGTCGTGGTTCCATATTTCATTTCGGCTCTTGAAACTATTTTACCTGACAGGTAAATTGCTGTTTCCCTATAGATATTACAAGAAGTATGAAGAGGTGTTTATTTTCTGGGGGTTCTGTCATTCCTGAAGGGTTTTCAGTGAAGGAATTTTGTAGTGTGGGCCCCATGTTGTGTATATATTTGATAGTGAGAACTGCAGCATTTCATAAACTCCTAATCTTTCATTTCATTTAATGCAATTTCAGCTATAACAGTGCTTTTTAAAATTGAAATATTTGAGTTATCTAAATAGTCATTATTGGATAGCAGCATCTACAAGATCAGGGAAAAGGAGTGATTTAACTGAAATAGCTTTTAAGCCTACTTGTTTTTATGTAAAATTTTACAGTATATTCATTACTGGCTGTTACTTTGAGTTCATTTGGAGAGTACACATCATTAAATGGAAAAAAATGATAACTTAGGCTTGTGAAGTTGGTATAGATTCTTAAACCAGAAGATATAACTTTGTTTGTCAGAGCAGTACAGATTACTGCATGTTTTAGTAAATAACGCACTTAATGCAACTGCGTGTAGCTTCTTCACCATACGTTTTATGTATTTATACCAAATCTCATTTTGAAGTTATGCATAAACTATTGTTTGTCTTCTGGGCTTAAATCTGAGCCACTGCTTCCTTTAGATGGGTCTTACAGTGGCTACTGAAAGAAGTTGATTTATTTTCAAGTAGATTCTATTTTATACAATATGCACTGGAACATATTGTATGTATCTCTGGTAGTGCTTGGTTGGTTTGAGTTGTAGTAAGCAAATAAAGGCTTGTGAATAAGACTTCCAGCTTTGAAAATGCAGTATATGAATAATACTTTCATCTGTTTACTACTTCTGTGTTCAGTGGAAAATACTAAACAAATAAAAGTTCTTGCATGAATAAATTGTTTCATTGCCACTGTTACAAAATAAGAAACCTGAACCAAGAAAGAAACAGCTACATCATGTGCTGCAAATTGTTTAAGAGCAATGGATGTCTGTATATTTAATTTTCACTTAGAATTTGGCTCCAAATTCTTGGGAAAAGCTGATTAATTGTATGATGCTTTGATTTGCAGAGAACTCTCAAAGTTTAAAATCTATGTAAACCCTACAGAGCTAAGAAGAGCTTCAATTAACATCTTGCTGTCTTTGTTGCCTCTCCCTCATCATTTTGGAACCATAAAATCTGAGGTAATAAACTTAGTTTTCTTTTGCATTTTGAGCTTTGTTTTCCTGGTAGTTTTAGAGTGGCGTTTGGATGAGTTGTGGTATTCTATGGTATTTAGTATTCTGATTAGCACCGAAATTCTTAGAGCAATTTTTCTAACAGTAAGACTATATTACATGTTGACAGTAGTAATGTGTGCTGTGGATGTTGACTTTTCAAACCAATACCATGCTGGTTTGTTTAGCATAAGTATGGAATTGATCTCTACTCAAATAAGTGTATTTTTCCTTCAGGTAGTCCTGGAAGGGAAGTATAGCAATGATGATAGCTCAACGTATGATAAGCCAGTAACCTTTCTCTCCTTGAAGCTGAGGCTTGTGAATATACTTATAGGAGCTTTGCAAACTGAAACAGATCCCAACAACACTCAAATGATACTAGGTAAATTCAATGTCTTTTATTTATTGATTCAGTTATGGAAATGTCTTTCTTAATCACTCCTGGAATAATTAAATATTAGTAATTATTTATGAATTGCTTTGCAAGAACAGGTGAAAGTCCTTGCAGGTCATCTTCTGTATAATCTCCCTCATACCATGAAAACATCTTTACAAAGGTCACATCTTTGTTAAAAATGTGTGTCTTTCTCCTCATAAATGTAGAATGGTACTTGAAAAGTAAAGATAGAATTAAAGCATGTTCTAGTAGGTAAAGTCAGTCCATAACTAGGAAAATAAATTGAAAAAAAATGTTGTTTTAATATTGGTAAGAATTCTTGACTAGTGGATTACAGGGAACATTTTACTTCTTTGCACAATTAAGCCCAGAAATAAATTGAAACTCCAGTGTTGGCAGAATACAAATTATGTTTGTCTGATACTATATAAATCCTCACATAAAAGCTTCAAGAATTAGTCTGGAGATGCATCATGTTTTGGCAACAAACTGTTCTTTGAGGTAATAGATGTATTAACATGTGAATACTTAGTAACTAGAAGCTGAAATCGTGAATATAGCATAATCTTTCAAGTTGGATGTATTTTCAGACAAGTAAAAATTCAGTTGCCTTATTTTTCCCTGATTCATTTCCCTATTGTTATGTAGAAGTAACTTTTTCTCCACGTTATGGTGTCCTTGTCCCTCAAAACAATTACCATACCATTTTCTTTTTGACTGTTTAAAGAGCAAGTGGATTTGCCCTGGGTAGGCACCTTTCTTTCCATGGAATGCAGAGATCCTATCTGACTAACAGGAGAGGGATGGGAAAGGACAAAAGCACTGCAGTAATGGAAACAAATCCAGTCTGCAAAGTCTTTCAGAAAGCTTCAGGGTTGAAAAGCTTTTCAGAGGTTGAAACTATTCCTTTACTAGCAGAAGGAAAATAGAGGAAAATAATTTGGAAGAATGTTTTGTAGCCAGTGCTGGTGAAGGGCTGAGGAAATGTATGGTTTCATAGTGGTCCTCTAAGGAAGACTCATCAGCACATTAGTGGTTGTCTTGGCTCAGGGACTGCAGGGTGATGTTCTGTTATATCTTACCCATGTGTTCCTGTACCCCTCTGGTGCCTGCATCCAGCTGGGCAGATCCTCTGCCTAGGATGGTTTCACCATTACCTGGCTGAGACACCTTAATGAACTGTTTACCCTGTTCTCCTGTTGTTAAACTCTGGTTTCCGTATGTGAAGTTGTGTCCTACTGGCTTTGGTTGGAGAGGATTCATGAATCTCCAGGTTAGCAAGAGGTTCGTGCATGTGCCACCACCTTCTAAACAAAGATGGTGTTTATTTCCAGCTACTCCTTAAATACTTATCAATGACCAGTGCATTTCTCTTTATATAGCAACGGAGTTTTCCTAAACATTCATTGTCAGGTTGGGGAAAAAAATTAATGTAGTTACAGGCTGTTTGCACTACTTGACATAAGACATCTAGAATGCATCAGCAATTTTAACTGTCTAACACTTGTGTGTAGTTATCTCTCCCAGGATGGATTTTTCTGTCTACCTGCTGGCTAATTTGAATGCAGTATGGTTGCTTACACCTGTACTGAGAGCTTCAGCTTCTTCAGTACGTTATTTTGGGCGTCAGTGGGAAAACAAACAAAAAAGCACAGAAACGGGATCCTGGGGATCACTTCTATGCAGAGAGTTTGGGTGTATTCTGCCTCAGACTTCCTGATGTAGGAAGTTGGTTTTATGTTTTAGCCAAATCAGAATGAAAGTGATATTTAATTTGATAATCTGTGGTTTTGGAGAGCATTGATGTGAATATTGGTCTAGATTTTGGGCAGAAACATCTCTATAAAAATAGCTCTGCTACAGTGGAGTGGGGATTCTCGATCAGTGTGAGAATGATCACAGCCCCTTTAGTTGATGTATTAAGGATTGTTGAATGGACCAGACCTTATCTGCCTTACTTTCCAATAGGTTGCTGTCTGTGCTGTCAGTCCAGTAAAACTTGAAACTATTATTTTGGTTTGCCATTAACCAGCTGCCTTTTGGCTCCTAATGGCCAAATTGAGGAAGGGAGGCTCTTTGTGCCGGGCACAGAGATTAGCTCGGGCCAGTACTGTATAACCCTTGAGATGGCTTTGGACTACACAGTGCACTTTAGCTGTCTCAGTTATTTGAACACTACTGTTATTTTACTAACAGAATCAATAAATCTCTTTAACTTGAGTTTTTAAATGATCACAGTCTGATGGGAGACAGGGAAAGGTTACAACCCTTCTGTGAAACAAAAATCCTTCTGAACTGAGGAATTTAAGACACCTATGTTGAAAGCATTTTTAAAATAGCTGAAAACATTCTTTGTCTCAGCTCTTGTCTGTATCAAATTGCTAAGCACGAAGCAAATACTTGTGCTTTATAGAACTCTTATAAAAATTCTCTATAAAACAGGATTGTGTTCTAGACCTTCAGTGCTTCTCTAAATTTTAGCCATGACTGTTCTATTATGGTCTTTAGTAGTTACCTTCTTTCATCTAATCTTCAGGTGCAATGTTAAATATTGTTCAAGATTCAGCTCTGTTAGAAGCCATTGGCTGTCAGATGGAAACGGTAAGATTTTTCGTTTATGAAATTACTGCTTTAGAAAGAATGTGGTTCATTTTATCTGCTGTTTTAAGACGTTCAGTTAGCTCCCTGAGGTCTGATCATATTTCTCCCCTGTATTTGGAGTATCCTGCTATATAGAGAATTCTACTCAAAAAATGTTATCACTTAAAACTGACTTTCAATTTGCAGAATGGTGGTGAAAATAACCTCTTCAAAAGCCACAGTCGTACTAACAGTGGCATTAGCACTGCAAGTGGAGGCAGTACAGAGCCTACAACACCAGACAGCGAACGACCAGCACAAGCCCTTTTAAGGGATTATGGTAAGGATAACCCTTTTGAAAAAAATGTGTCATTATATCCCAAGTCGTTTTTTTCCCTTTTGTAGTTCTGGCTAATGCATTAATATGCATGGGTGTTTTGAACCCAAGGTGGGTAGCTCCTTTGTTTGTTACTGATTTGATCTCCTATGTGCCCATACGTGATGCTCATGTTCATCTGTGCTGGTTGGTTTTTATGTGGTAGTTGGTTTTCAATACTACTAAAGGACTCTGCAATTAACATGTTCAAAGTAATAACATAAATTATGGAAAAAGTGTTTGCAAACTGTTTTACTATGTCATATGTTTTCAAGATGTTTAGTTTTCATGAATAGTAATGGAACATGTCAGGTATAAATTAATTGCTTTATTCATTTTGGTAGCATTCCAAATGCTTACGTGAGCTTTGTAGCACCTTTGTTGTAAAAGACCATTTGGGGAACCCCTGTTGTTATAGAGCAAGTAAGCAGAATGCTTGCAATGTGTAATTATAACAAACATTTTTCAATTAATATTAGTTTGTTATGTCTCGTACTGTGCATTTTAATCTCTAATAAAATAAATGTTCTTCTAAACTTTTCTGTGGTAAGCTAGCTGAATGTGGAGATTCTGGAATTTTATTTGCTCCTTTGCTCTTTAGCAATGTAATTGATGCTAGCCAAGTGAATGGGAGAACAGACCATCTTGTAGGCTAGGTAAAAAACTGTTCTCACCAGATGAATTTTTTTCCTCTAGTTTTCAAAATAAGAAGAGGGAGATTAATGGGAAAGATTTTAGTATATTCACATGGAAATGTTAGATACAGTGATTCACATAAGCATGTTAGCACTTTCTCAAAAGGATTTTTCTAAAATGATTGAAGTGCTAGTTTTTACCACACCACTTGGAATCTCTCAATGTAAAATATCCATTTATAAGGTTAAAAAAAAAAATCTTGTAGTTGAATTACTGGCTCTTTAAACCATGATATAACTTAAAGTATGTTTGTAATATTTTGACCCTGAACATGCTGGCATTATTGATTTATTTTACTGTTTTAAAAAAAATCCTGTGCACAGGAGGTAAGGTTGTAATAAATTTATGAACAAATTTCTACATTTCTGCTGTATGTTTGAAGGAAAAATCGAAAACTGATGGTCTATATTTACTGGTGAACTGTAGCTAACATTTTAATCCCCTACTAGGGTGACAGAACATCGTTTCTGAAATTAATTTGACTAGTTCAGTCTTAATGAACAATTGAGCCTAAAAACATTTTGTAATTTTAATTTTGAGCTAGAGGATCAGGAAAATTAAAAGTCTAGAACCAAATGTATCTTTTTTCCAGGATGGCTTCTTTCGTTATTTACACTTAAATACCTGATGCAACTTCTGATAAAATTAAGTACAGAGAGAACAGCTAACTTCTGACTTAGGTATCTGAAGCTACACGTTCTCTATTACTTTATTACTCGTGCCTACATGTGTAAGTACTGATGTCTAATGTGTATGATTAATGCTGAAGTTCTTCAGAGTCTGCAAGACATCAGAGCAATTTAAGTACAATAGCGAACAGTATCAAAACCTGAAGCTAGCCATTCTGTTGCTGAAATGTGACAGAGTGCTGTGATTGTCCAAAATGTCTACAAAAGAAACAAAAACAAAATGAGACGAGATGATAGTCTGAATGCATTTCTATAATATGCTGGTGTTGTATATGAGGAAGTTAGCCTGGGCAAGAGAGACCAAATTTCTAGCTTGTGGGTTGTGTATAATTGTGTGTGTATTGTGGCTGCTTTGGCTTGTGCCCGTGCTTTGCTTTATTGTTACTAATGCTTAGTTATTTTCCCTCCCTATGCTGTGTGGTATTGGGGTTATATCCTAGCTCTTAATACAGATACAGCTGCAGGACTACTGATACGCAGCATTCACCTGGTAACCCAAAGACTCAACTCGCAATGGAGGCAGGACATGAGCATCTCATTGGCTGCGCTGGAACTTCTCTCTGGATTGGCAAAGGTGAGAGATGAAGTTTTGGTTGCTCCAGCCTCTTCTCGGAAGGGTGATTACTGTCCTGTTCAGATGAAAGTCATGCCACCAGGCAGAAGTCTGCATCTGAGTCCGTCAGTTTATTTGGACTTGAGAAAAAAACAGTCCTCCTCTTGTAGGATTGCTTCATCTTACCCTAATGCACAAGCTCACTGGTTCAAGTGAAGTGAATCAAGTAAATGCCTCTTGGCTGAAAGCAAAGCTCAGGGTGGCTGGTTCAGATACATGTTGCTCTACCGTGTGGTTCTGGCTGATATTGTTGAGCTAGCTGGATGATTCCGAATCATTCTCATGGATCCACATATCGATCTTTTTACTTTTTGCTTTGTTTTGGGTTTTGGTTGTGGTTTTATTTCTTTCTTTTTACGTTGCTGGGGAAGCATCTGACATACTAGGTTGAACAGCTGAGAAAACGTGCCACTAAGTTTCTAGTGGGCAGTGTATGGGCTTGGGCCATTAGTTTTCAATGCTACTGTGAACCATTTATCATAGCTTGCTTGGCTGGATGTTCAGTCTGTCCATTCACTGTATAATCAGTCTTAGAAACAAGAGTTTCTATTGTAGTTAGTCCAGGATGGAAATATATCAGGGCATTAAATAATTTGACTGCCATTTTTGTAAATGATTTGTTTTCTAAGCTTTTGTTGGATATAATTTGGACTTAGAAAATGATAGTGTATTTCTGATGTGAAAATGTCACCTTCTCAGAAGCTTTATCTACACACAGTTCCTCAGTTGAAACTGGCTGTGCTGTTTTTCTTCACCACTTCCCAGCTGAACTACTCGTTTGATTTTGGCACCCTCAGCTGAAGTTTGTGTTACTAAACTCTGAGGAGACTCACCTAGCCCATAATGGGACTAACTAGCAAATTAGTAAATAGACAATAACTAAAACTATTAGGTTGAGGGATCTTTTTTGGATAAAAGTAAAATTCCCTTTTCTGCCTCAGGGCTCTCATTTGTGATGTTTAAGCAATACTTTAGTGTATTTACAGCAGCCACAATGAACTGGTGTGACAATTCAGCATTCCCTGACATGTTCCCCTGGGGCCTCGACAGATCTCTCTGAATATGCATGTCATAGGCCTTTTTTAAAGCCTGGAGTCAGCACTGAGCCATGCTGGGCTGCATACTTCTTTTACTAGTGCAATGGCATGAGCTAAAGGATACCTTTGAAAGTATTCTGCAATGAGTTCAAATATGATTATGGGGTGTTACAGAGCACAGGATGGAATAAGGAGTTCCTGTGTCTTGTGTGATTAAGCCAGGCTATCTTTACGCACCCCCCCATTTGCAATGAGATAGGAATGTGAAAGCAGATATTTACAAATGCTTACCCAGATTAATATTAAACATTGTAATCTGTGCATAATTCTCATGCAACTAAAATAATTCTGGGATATCTGGGATAGTCTTCTTTCTCTTAGTAATGAATCAGGTGGAAAGAGACCACCTCTTACTGCATAGCTTCAGAGTGGAGAACTGATTCTGCTTGTGCCTTTGGAAGCTACGATTCCCAACGTCCTTCTAAGGTTAAGGGCTGCCCTACCCTTTATCTTTTCAGTACCACCTTATTACCTTATTTGTAAATTGGAAAATCTTGTTTCCTACAGGAGTACTGGTTCACCAACATGCTTTTCATATACTAATCTTAAAGGTACTTTTTGCCATATGTTTTATGCTCCTGAAGGAAATAATGCCTACAGCTCCGAAGTATTGTCCATCCCCTGGTTGAGTACAGATGTCTGGCTTCCTTGTTGTCACCAGCAAAACCACCCAGCTTCCTACTTTGATATTGAGACTGTTTCTTAAATAATAAATAAGACTTTACATGGCATCGTCAAATGCTACAGAGTAGGAAAATCCAGGCTTAACTGGCCATTCCTGTGTTCCATGCACAGGTTGGGAAGAAAAGAGATACACTTATTGCTTAATTTTATAATGCTGATCCCTGTGCCTCAGTTTGCAAAGCTCTTCACTAACCCTTCTGGTCCAGAGTTTTGTTCTCTGAAGCCTTGCTGAGCTGGGAGAGAAGCTGAAGATTTTTTCTGCATTTTTTTCTGGTTAATCTGCTTGTCTGAGTGTAGTTTTTCTTTCACTTTTTCACTGATGAGTATTACTGTGCTGACAAAATATGCCTAGTGGAAAGTCATACGAACAGAAAGAAGCCCTGTGGAAGGGAGACTTGGGAGTGAGTGGGTTTTCAGAGATGAGTGGGTTGCTATAGCTGAAAAGAGGTACCTGCTGAAAGTAAGTTTCAAATACTAATTGTTTCAGCTTGCAGTTAATTTCTTATCAAACCGTATTGGTGCTGTTCTTGCTCTTGAAGACAAAGCCATGAAATGTGGTGGCACCTTAATGCAGCATTTATTTTAGTTTCAGTATCATAGAATCACAGATGGTTTAGGTTGAAAGGGACCCCAAAGGTCACCCAGTTCCAACTCCCCTGCCATGGGCAGGAACAGCTCCCAGGCTGCCCAAAGCCCCATCCAGCCTGGCCTTGAACGCTTCCAGGGATGGGGCATCCACAGCTTCTCTGGGCAGCCTGTGCCAGTGCCCCAACTCCCTCAGCCTGTCTTCGTAGGAGAGGTGCTCCAGCCCCTTAATCATCTTTGTGGCCCTCCTCTGGACTCACACTGATACTTCTGTGTCCTTCTTGTACTAGGGGCCCCAGAGCTGAACGCAAGCTCCAGGTGAGGTCTCAGAGCAGAGGGGGAGAATCCCCTCCCCTTGCCCTGCTGGCCATGCTGCTTCCGCTGCAGCTCATGTTGAGCTTCCCACCAACCAATGCCCCCAGGTCCCGCTCCTCAGAGCTGCTCTCACTCCATTCTCTGCCCAGCCTGTATTGGTGCTTGGCATTGCCCTGACCTAGGTGCAGGACCTTGCACTTGGCCTTGTTGAACCTCATGAGGTTTACACAGGCCCACCTCCCAGGCCTGTCCAGCTCCCTCTGGGTGGCATCCCTTCCCTCCAGCGTGTCAACTGCACCACACAGCTTGGTTTCATTAGCACACGTGCTGAGGGTGCACTTGATTTCACTGTCCTTGTCACCAAAAAAGATGTTAAATAGTGCCAGTCCCAGTACTGACCCCTGAGGAACAGGGGTTTTATTTTGAAATGCTTTTAAAAACTATTTCTTCTCTAAAGGATTTTGTGGAGTAATCCTCACCTGACGGTCCTCTTCTACTTGCTTTTATACAGGTGAAAGTGACTGTTGACTCCTCTGATCAAAAGAGAGCTATTAGTTCAGTATGCAGCTATATAGTCTACCAGTGCAGCCGGCCAGCCCCACTCCACTCCCGTGACCTTCACTCCGTGATAGTTGCAGCTTTCCAGTGCCTCTGTGTCTGGCTTACTGAGCATCCTGACATGCTGGACGAGAAGGTAAGAATCTCTAGTGTACACATTGTGAGCACACCCAGTTGTTACACGTTTCAACCCCAACCTATCTATTCTTTGTACTTTAAAACAACATGCTTTTGTAGTCTTCAAAAATACACCAAGAATTTCAAAACCAGCCTACTTGAAAAATATATTTCAATTTTGATTTCTGCTCTTTATTTACTGAGACTATTTTTAGTTTTACACATAGCTTTCATATTTATAAGAAAGCATCTTGACCTTTCTTCTTGCTTTGTGAAATTGAAGAAAAAAGAGAGAAGAAAATAAAAAAAACCACGAAATGTAAATAAATAAGTACATAGAAAATTAAAGAAAATGTTTTTTATAATCATAGTTTCACCAAGAAATTGTCTAGAAACTAAGCAAGGCACGGCTCAATCCAAGGTGGAATTTCCTTGGGAAGTTTGAAGAGAACAGGCAATGAAAGATACATGTTTCTGATCACTTCCTATCATACTGTTAAATTCATTTTTTGTACAAATACTATTTTCATTCTCTGCTTACAGAGAAAACTCAGTAATCTTTCTGTAATCATATATAAACATATATATGAAAATGTATATTTAAGAAAAGACAGAAAAATTGGGAATTCTCAAGCAAGGTTTTCCATAAAGATGCTTTCTGCATTTACTTCGTGATATTGGCACAGAAGTAGGTGACCAGGAAAGGATGATTTGCCTGGATGTGTCACAACACAGGTTTATGCAGTCGCATCATGTTTTTTTATGTTGTAAGGGTCCAGTTGTTTTTCTTCTTTTGACTATCACTGGTTATCAGGATGGTGTTATACTATGTGCAGTATATACTGGAAATCTGGTGGCTCATTCCTGAGCCATGATAGTCCAACGGGAACCTCTCACTGTGTTTGCCAAGTGTAAGGATCAGACTGTCCAAGGTGCCTCACCTGATACCTACTTTGAATTCACATGTAGGTTTAACTAGCCAATACTGTAAACTCTTTCTGTAAGTCTTCATAGATGGTCTTTGCTTCTCAACCCTGATTTATTTGGGTTTGTCTAAAGACTTTCACCTTCCTTCTCACTTGTTTTTCTACATCAGTTGTGAATTCAAGGAACAACACAGACCAAGGTGTGGAACCCTGCCCGGTCTCTGGTGGTAAAAGCTGACCACTTATGTTTTGTTCTTAGCCAGTTATTTATTCTTGAGAAAGCTTTCCTTTTTATTCCTTCCCTTAAGTCATGAGACTGGAACTTGTAGCAATCCAAATATTTTCAGGAAATGATTTTGTAACGAGCAGTATTGGTCAGTCATAACTGTGATCCTACTGAGTGTTGGCCTTTTCTGCAATTGACTTGTTGCTTTGCTGTCTACTTTTAGAATATTGCTATTGTTCTCTTGATGAATTAGATACCATGATATACTACTTTATGAAAACTGTAGGCAATTGAAAGATTTGGAAAAGGGTTTCTTGCAGTTTTCCAGATTAGTTTGTTCTTAATGACCTAAGAACTTAATTAAAAGTTCTGCAGATAACCTCAGAAATACATTTATTATCTTGTAAAATATGTTTACATTTTTTAGTTGCATTCTTAGTAGTCCTCTTGACTGTTTTCTACATGTGTAGTGGAATGCATTCAGAGCACTTTCCAGCATGAGATATAGAGGCATACAAACATAATCAGACATCTGCACACAGAGAAAATACAATTCCTATAGTAAATGTGGTCTTACTCCAACACTGTTAAAATCTTCTGCCTTTATCTCTGAGCTCAGATAACCAGTAGCACTTCATCTGAATCAACGGTCTGTTGCTGTTTCACTGAGGTCTTTGAGGCATCTGTTAGAGTGTTTCCGTTTTAAGATAGGTTCTCTTATGTTTTAGGATTGCTTAAAAGAGGTACTGGAGATTGTGGAGCTGGGCATTTCAGGAAGTAAATCCAAAAGCAGTGAACAAGAGGTCAAGTATAAAGGAGATAAGGAGCCAAACCCTGCATCCATGAGAGTGAAGGATGCCGCTGAAGCTACATTAACATGGTATGTAATTTGTCAAATGATGTTTGTTGTTCAGCATTGCCTTGTCAGAGAATGTGCTAATTAGGGATTCCTACCTGGTGAGGTCTCTGATGTAGCGAGAGCATCTGAAAAGTCACCCAGAAATTCCATCCAGTTTGCTTTTTGGGCAGGGTTGTCCTGTGCTCTGCCTTTGCTGTCTTCCTCTTCCCATTACAGGTGTCCAACACCTGCAGATAATTGGTTTGCCCTGGTAACTCTAACTGTAAGGGTAACTGATACATGAAGATATAAATGAAGAATATGAGTGAAAGTCCATGCTTGGGTGGAGCAGTAAATCTTAATCTCTCGTAACTTCTTTTTTCTCATTTGCAGTATTATGCAGTTACTTGGAGCATTTCCTTCTCCCAGTGGCCCTGCTTCCCCTTGCAGCTTAGTGAATGAAACCACGTTAATTAAATATTCTCGTCTACCTACCATAAACAAACATAGCTTCCGTTACTTTGTTTTGGATAATAGTGTCATCCTTGCAATGTTGGAACAGCCTCTGGGGAATGAACAGAGTAAGTTCAACACTTCTTCCCTTGTTCCTCTAGTTAAAACTCCTCTGCATGCAGCTGTAAAACAAAGGTGCTTCATCAAGTACCTGTCACATTTCAGGGTCTTACCTGTTCTGTGGATGTGCTGGAATAACTTTAGTGTCAGTGATAGTCAAACATACAAACGCACCCAAATTCTTCATGCAATTTTTTATCCAGATACTTGCAGGTGACTGCCATCTAAATGATAGCCAATGAATCCATGTTATAAAAGAACAAAAAACATTAAGAGTATAGGAGGTTTGATGGGGATTGGTCCTCTGCAAGTAGTTCATGTGAGACTTTTATGCTTTGCACAGTTGCTTTTGCTTGCTCTAGGTCTCTTGTTACTAAATGTTTCTGTGGGTGCTTTTGGCACAATTCTAGTTGCTAAGGAGCCATTATAGCTTTGTAGTATGCCATTCTGTTCTATCGATGATACCTACTGTAAAGGAGATCTATTGAGAGGAGAGTATTGGCTTTCACAGCTGAATTTTTCTTTGACTTGTTTTAGCATTGTATGCTTTGACCAAGGAGAGCTTGCATTAAAAAAATCTGGTGGTATTGACGTGATGCTTTGAACTGAACAATTAATCTCCTTAAGTCCCTCTTATGAGTCTTCATGTATCAAGGCATCACCTAAAAGAGTAGACAAAACTCGTCTTTTGTACTAGCTCCACTTAAGACTAATGTTTGTTGGATGTGTTAACCTGACACAGATGTGTTTTCCTCATCTATGGACAGGACTGAGTCTAGATACTAGTCTTGAAAATAGATTGCACTGAACTAACATCATGAGCTCAGATTGTGGCCACTGATAGTAAGAGAAGAAACTGTTAGTTTGAGTTGTGGTCCAGAATGCTCCAATCTCATTAAGAATCACTAAACAGATCTTGCAGCTCATCCTGGGAGCCATTGCCATATGTTCACTCTCAGTCTGTATTTGAGCAAATATGTTCCTGACAGGAACAGCTTAGAACATGCCAGAACAGCTGAGCAAATCTCATCCTTGTTCTGCCTGTACTAAATGCGTTACTGAGGAATCCTGTAAAGCTGTTATAATCTGAAATTAAATTAACCTTACTTGTTGTGCAGAACTTGCTTACAAATCCCCTTCGAAATACAAGATTAATTGCAGTAATGTGTAAGTATGTCAGATCACTTTTGAGGCAGACCACTGCAGTGGATTATTGTGGGGAGCTGGTTTGGTTTATGTGTGCTTGTGTAAATGTGCTGTACCCTGTACATTCCGGTATGCTGCCCATGAAATACCAGGGAAGAAATACATATCTAGTAGTTACTTGGTGGTGTCAATTTATGGTTTAAATGCACAAAAGATAGCTTTTAATTTTATTTTAAAATGTATTTATATCTGTAGAAGTATACCTCTATACGTATACTATACTAAAGCAATTCGTCTGCTAAGGTAGCAAACTTCAGTGGCCTTTACATCTTGAAGAGAGACTGAAATCCCTACAGTGTTAGAACCGCAATCATGCAAATTGAAAGGCACTGCAGAAGAACTGAAGTCTAACCTGCAGTCTAACCTCCTGTTCTCTGGACAGGGTCAGTTCTCTGAAAAGGGTCAGTATTGAATTTGCACAGAGGAGGATTATGCTCAGTGTTTTCTACTCACTAGAAATTGTCTTTAGGGTCAGGAAGGGAGTTTTCCATGAAAACAAAATCTCTGTAATCATGATTGTGTTTCTTTATGGTTAAATTATTGCTCAGTGAAGTATTTGTATTTTATGATGTATTATTCTTTTAACCCATGTGTTTTACAGATGACTCTTTCCCTTCTGTCACGGTTTTGATCCGTGGGACATCTGGAAGATTTGCATGGGCCCAGCAACTCTGTCTTTTACCAAGAGGAGCTAAAGCAAATCAAAAGGTCTCTATCAAAGCCCATAAAGAAATCTTTAACTGCTGATGTTCAGCAGAAATTCCACTAATGTGAGACAGCCCCGCAGAACTGGTGATTATACATTAAGGCTGAGCCATGGGGCCTTTAGCTGTAGGTAATGTTGACACGTCTCTGGTGACTCTTTACAACTTGTGGTTAATAATAAAAACAGGCTGTGAAAGCACTGTTGCTGTCTAGGTTTGTTTAAGGGAGTGGGAGGGGGATCTCTCCGTATTTCTTGTTTTTTGAAAGCATCTTCAGAGGTGATGGGGCAATGTACAGTGTGCTTAGTTGTGTAGGCATGAGTGTTGGTGCTGATTTTAGGATGTCAGGCAAAGCCCTTGCAGCAGAAGAAACAAAGTCTGGAGACACAGTATGAGATGCTGCAGAGAGAACAGCTATTAACTGCAAAGCCCAGTGTTGCAAAGATGGTGGTAAAATTACAGTGGAAAAAATCTAGACAGACTCTGGACTCTAGACTGGACTCTAGACAGACTCTAGATGAACTCTGGACTCGAGATGGAATGCTTCTGGACAGGAATAGTAAAGGAGAAATAGCCCAATCTCATTTTAAAGTAGACTTTCTTACTGCAGTTGCCTAGTGGAGTATATCCTTCAGTTACCAAAATTTCTTTCTGTTTGTAAACATCTCCAAATCTTGAAAGTCTTCATATGACCCTCAGTAAAATACAGGAAATAATAATGTAGCTGAAATATGGGCCTGTCAGTCTCAGCTGTCATGTTAACATTTAGATGACTCTGGTCTCTGCAGAGCAGCCTTTGGGAAGACCCTTCACTTGATGCCTTTGGAGCTATGCTGTCAATTAAGCTGAAGCATTTTGCTAAATAGTGTCAGTGCAAGTGTGTTGCCTCTATCACCAAAGGACAAGTCACATCTTGGCTGGAGACCTTCCTACCAGTTTGAAGGGAACTGTTCTAACCTAAAGGCATTACATAACTTTAAGTGTTGCCTTTTTCAAGTGTACTGGGTTGTAAATAAATTTAAAAGCAGCCCTCAAAGTATAAAGGTCCTGCTTTTGCTTGGATCTTATGCATCTGCAAACCTGTAACTAGACCTTCTGCTGCTTTCAGTGGTAGCTTCAGTTTTTGAATTACATGGTGTAACATAATACAATAGCAATGTCAAAATTGCATTAAAATAAATAAAGCAAGTCTTTTTGATACCTTAGCAGGGAATCTCACTCCTGACCCACAGCGTTGCTGCTGTTCACTTCCAGGACTTCTCAGCTTGACTTGTTGACATCATCATAGTCAGTAAGGTTAAAGTAGAGAATTCTGAAAAAGCTGTTAGAATTGCATCAGGGTCAATGGTTTTGGTTGGAGGGGGCCTTAAAGACCACATAGTTCCAACCCCCAGCTGCCATGGGCAGGGATGATACCCGCTAGATCAGATTGCTTGGGGCATCGTCCAATTTGGCCTTGAACACCTCCAGGGATGGGGCATCCACAACCTTTCTGGGCAACCTGTTCTAGTGCCCCACCACTCTGAGTGGAGAATTACCTCCTAATGTATAAATCTCCCCTCTTAGCTTAAAGCCATTACCCATTTTCCTGACATGATCTGCCTGAGTAAAAAGTCTCTCTCCATCTTTTTTATAAGTCCCCTTTAAGTACTGAAAAGCTGCAATGAGGTCTCCCTGGAGCCTTCTCTTCTTCAGGACTGAACAGCCCCAGCTCTCTCAGCCTTTCTCCATAGGAGAGGTGTTCCATCCCCTTGATCATCTTTGCATCCCTCCTCTGGACCTGCTTTAACAGGCCCTTGTCCTTCTTGTGCTGGGGATCCCAGACCTGGATGCAGTACTCCAAGTGGGGCCTCACCAGGGCAGAGCAGAGGGGCACAATCACCTCCCTCAATCTGCTGTTCATTCCTCTGTAGATGCAGAGGATTGTTTGCCATTTTATTAGGATCTGAAAGTACTTAGAGGTAAGCAAGTATAATAGGTACCGTGATTGCAATTGCAATCACCACATAAAGCAAAACAGTGTCTTTTTTCTGTTTTTAAATTTACAGTGACATTTTTAGTACAAGTCTATTCTAAAAATATTAGTGAATGCTTTTTAATGATACCTCTCATATATGAATTAGTAAACTTGTGGTGGGAGGGTACATTTCCCATTATAATATGTCGTATAATGATGCAATGCCCTGAGTGAAACTATCCCCTGCTCCCATTTTTTTTTTGACAGACTTTTGTACCAGAACCTCGACCAGCTCCTAAAAATGATGTTGGATTAAAATACAGTGTCAAGCACCGCCCAGTTTCCTGAGGAAGTGGACAAGATCCCATTTGTGAAAGCAGACTTGAGCATTCCTGATTTACATGAAATTGTGAATGAGGAAGTAAGTAACTTTTAATCTTTGAATTCATTTTGCTCTTGTTTTATGTTTGTTCATGAATCACACATTAACGTCTTACTGTAAATGGTATAATTCTTCTGCTTGACTAATTCATATTAATGGGGTAATAAACAGCGAACAAATGATTCTGTGCATTCCCCCAGGAAGATGGCAGTGTCTTGAATGTGTTCTTGAGGAGCATTGCTCAACACATTTTATTCCAGTTTCTAATATCCTGGTATTGCTAGGAAGAAATTATTTGCATTTTGTTGCATCTTCTGGGGAAATGTAAATAGCATTTTTGAAAGGATACCGACACCCTTGTGTGGGGTGTGTGTGTAAAAATAAAAGTATTTTAAAGCTTCACAATGCCAAATTCACTTTAGTTTTTGTTCATTTAAAAGGGAGAGGCTGTTGCTTATAACTGGATCCATAATTTGCAACAGCTTTCCCATGCAAACAGGGTGTTGAGACATTTACCTTGTAACCTTGTGCAAGGTCTTGTTGATGGTACTTTAGTACACATCCTGCTGGTAGAGTTGCAGCTGCTCTTGCATGTGACTTACAGATTTGCTAAATGATGGAGCTGTTGTGTTTGAGAGAGATCATAGTAGAGTCAACTCAACACTTAATGTCTGTGCAGCTTGAAGAGCGACATGAGAAGCTGAGAAATGGCATGGCCCAGCAGATTATTTTTGAGACTTCAATAGATCAGAAAAGTGAAGAGGAGTGGCGTAAGAAGAGCTTTCCTGATCCGATTACAGAGTGTAAGCCCCCGCCAGCAGCCCAGGAGTTCCAGACAGCACGCCTGTTCCTCTCTCACTTCGGGTTTCTGTCTCTAGAGGCACTGAAGGTGACCTGATACTTCTTAATGTTATACTAATGGCATAAGTAGTCCATATGGCTTAGCAAATGAGAAAAACTAAAGTTTTGTTAGTGGAAGACCTTTTTTGCAATACCATCTGCTGTTGTGCTGTAGTCTACTTGGATAAGGTGATGAACTTCAGTCTTCCAGGATTAAGAACAGGGTCGTGAAAGGCCACACGTCAAGCTGAACATGCTCTGAATAGGTGGCTCTATCTGTATTTGTGCAGTAGGTACATAAACTATCACATTCACCTGGTTATATTTGACGCTATTTCTCCAGCTTGAGTTAGGGCTACTTTGTAAGCATTTCAAAAATATAATAAATAAATATAATTCCTTTAGAAGTTCTGTTACAGATTATTGTGTTGAAATGGTTTAACAATATGTAAACACTTTAGAGTACACGTAGATTGTAGAGTTTATTCTTTCTGAAGTTAAAGTAACAGTGGTTTATAGAGACAATCCACATCCTTAAATTGAAATTCTGCCTCTTACCTGTGGATTTTCCCTTTTATTTGTTGTGTTTTCTTCCAGAATACTGTCAACATATATAGGCGATCTTGCACAAATACAAAAGTGCTTGGTATTTTATACATTGTTGATATGAGGTATTAATACAAAACTAGATACAATATGATTGTACATAGCCATGTAATATTTTGAAAGTCTCTGCTGCATTTGTTGTGGAAGGGAGTGTTCTTTTTTGAGCAAAATGTTATTTTTCTTAATGGATCATTATGAAAGCCATAAAGAACTTACCTGATTTGAAAGATTTTTTGAAGCTGTTGAACTCTGTTGAATAGGAGCCTGCTAACAGTCGTCTACCTCCTCACCTGATTGCGCTTGACCCTGCTCTTCCTGGGTTTTTCGATGACCTTGGCTACTTGGATTTACTACCATGTCGTCCTTTTGATACTGTTTTTGTTTTCTACATGAAGGCAGGCCAGAAAACAAGCCAGGAGGTAAGTCTGGAGTGATCAGTCTTTTGTCTTGTGTCTGGTAATCTTCTGCTAGTGACTGGAGCAGAGTACTGAAAACAGTGATTCTGAGCTTTGTGTTTATTTACTATGTGAGCTGTAACAAATGACTGCATACCTTTTCATCTATAGGTTGAAGTACATTATTATCTACATCTAGGATTTTTGTAAGGTCTCGATAAAACATTTTGTATGTATATTAATGAAAATATATTATTTGTAGAGTTCAAAGATTCATACCAGAAATGTGTTTCAGATTTGTTGGCTCAGTTTGTAGGGAAGTTCTGCAGTTTGTTGCAATTTGTTCTAGCTGTGTGCGATAGCCAGGTATTTTGGTTTGATGCTAATGCTCAACATATGTCAAAGAAATGAAAACTTTTTACAAAAAAAAAAAAGTATTACTGCTTTGTAAATCTCTGTATTATACTATTTACATTCAGATACGATTAGGTTAATCAGGTTAATTTGTGCAAGTCTCAATTGTGATTTCTCTAGACTGTGACCTAGAAACTCACTACATGAAGAAGGCGTATGGGCTTGTTAGAAATATTTTTTGTGGTACTTTCTCCTCATTTCTATTAGTAATTGTTATACAAAAGAGTAAAAGCATAGCTTCAAAAACAATTAACATGTGGTTTCCTCATGTACTGTGAATATACAATTGACAGAAACACGGTAGCACCTTCCACATCTGAGTGTAAAATACCACCAATCCTTGAGGCCAGTGTCACGCTGTTTGTGAGTTTTCAGGTTCTGAGTTGCAAGTAAACTGTCTCCAAAGTTAGCTAACAAGATACACAGGATTTAATATCTACCAGCCTTCCAGAAATGTTATGCTCTTGCTGAGCTAACAGAATGCTTTTTTCCTCTGATGTTTACATGTAATTATGGATTTTAGACAGGTAAGATTTATTTAGAGAAATTACTTAGTCCAACAGAACTTGCTGGGCTTTGGATATCCAATTAGCAGTCAGTACTTAGGAGTTCTGCCATGCCAATTTAAGAAAATCTTTATATTTGAGAGGTTTTTGGGCACATTTAGACAGACATGATAAAGATGGCATTCCTGCTTCAGATCCTTGGACATCTTGCAATGATTTCTAAGCCTTCTTGGTCGTGCAAAGTCACAGTTGAGTTAATAAGACGCTCATCTCTACAGCACTGAACTGAGTGAGAAAACTGATGCTGTTTCTGTGTTTGAAAAGAAACAAAACAGAAATAAGTCAAAAGTCAGGAGCGGAGGAGATCAAAGCCAAGTAACAATGCTGCTTTGAGCAGAAATGCCTGCACAGCTCTACTCAGCCATCCATGTGCATGTTCCCATCAGTGTGTGTGTGTTCATGCATCTCTACCTCAGGAACTAATTCTGTTCTGCAAGGTGATTCCTACTCCTTTGACAAGGAGTGGTGTCGGTTCTATTTTTATCGGATGCTGCACAACCCAGAGTAGTGTTGTCTAACCTGAGTGTTCCTACATTAGCCCCATTCTCTTGTGATGATATGCATTTACAGTTTAGAGGGGTCTCACCAAATTTATTTATACAGGGTAATGAAGCTGCCCCCATGCTTTTTATATCATACTTCATGACGCTAGTGGTCTTTTGAATATACTCCTTCATCTTTACTTTACTGTAAGTTCTTTTCTTGAAGGAGCTTAGATATAAAACCATACATCTGTGTAAATCTTGAGCTTGCATGTTTTCTGCTTTTGGTTTCTAAGCTACTTTGTATCTCAGTTCATCCTGAAGCATAGCTATGACTTTATTGAGCATATCAGTAATATTTCAGAATATTGTACAGGGTGTTAGGCCTGGGTGCCAGGACCATGTGGGCACGAAGAACCACCTCTCTGGAAGCTTTCCTTCCACTTTCCTTCCAGGGTCTGTCACTGATAGCGCAATTTCTGATTCAGTAGAGTCTCTGTCCCAGGGCAGAGTCCCAGCACACTGTCCCCATACAAACAAAAACCAAAAACGTTCTGGCCACAAAACAAACTCCATGTGGCCCAGGAAGGAAGGAGAGAGGCACTATGCAGAGTTGTCTCTTCCACATCCCAGTGGTTTGATAGATCAAATCACAAATCATCTGCGTCTCCCTGCACTACACTTTGTGAAGCTCTCAATTTTCACTCAGTCACAATGGGATAAGAATTGTCTTTGGGTGTGGAAACATCCTAGATCTTTATAAGAAGTGGGATTAAGGTTCAAAATGTGGCATTTGGTTAAAGTGCATGCTCAGTCCTGCTGAAAATTGTTTTGCAAAATCTCTTTCATAATTTAATGTGCAATGAGGCCCCTGTGCCCTAAATCACAGTATGTCAGGTACAGGTTAGAAGTGGTGAAATGCTCTTCTCCTAAAGTTTTCTCTCAATTTAATAGTAAAAATTCTCTTATGTCTGCTGCTAATGCACATTCTACACTGAACAGTTGTGTTGGTTTATTCCTGATGACTGGATAAATCTCAGAATCACCATTTGTAGTGGTGTGATTGCAGGCTTCAGCAACGATGGCAGACAGCCGATTCGATTGAACAGGACATTGCCAAGCAGGATGAATGATGCTGGGCAGCAGGGACTGGTGTCCATATAGAAAGCCTGGGGTTCCAGAACAGCTGTATATGGGCAAAACCATCTCAGTGACACAATATTTTTTAATTACAAAACCAAAGGTGGGGTGAGGAGGGGAAGAGCTGCTTCCTGGAGTACCCTGTCCAATACCATGGTGTTGCTGGTTGTTTCAGATCCTGAAGAACATGGAGTCTTCCAGAATTGTTCAGCCACACTTCCTGGAGTTCTTGCTGTCTCTTGGCTGGTCAGTGGACGTAGGGAAGCACCCTGGGTGGACTGGGCATGTCTCAACAAGCTGGTCAATCAATAACTGCAGTGATGAAGAGGGACCTGAACAAGGTGAGGTGTGGTAAATGATGTAACATTAAATTAAAATGTTTTGTCTCCTCTAGGATATTTTTTTTTCTCCCAGATACCTATCTGAGCACCTGCGTACTTTTTTTTGGATAAACATGAACATTTATTAGAAAGGAATGTGTAAATAGACTAAGGTTCAAGCCAAAGTGAGGAAAAATAATGCCAGTGTTTGTTGTTGGGAGAAAGTAGTCTCAGCAAGAAACACCTGTATTCTGTACTTCTGGCAGACTTGGTGGGTCTTCATGTATAACCCAAAACCAGTATTCATCTGAAATTGGATACAGATTATAGTGTGTATCAGCAGACGTGCTTGCAATATTGTGATTTTTAGTGTTTTGTAAGTAGATTAAAATGAGATGTTGGTGAATATGTTAGCTGTAATCATGCTTGCTAGTAAGTAAAGAAATCAAGCCCCTGTTTGTAGGTCACTGAGGCTGCAGCCTACACACAGCTCTTCTCCTGTCCTGCTTAATTTAGTCTGTTCTTTTCCACTACAGCAACTGCTCCTCTGGGCTTGTCTTACTGTGACCAGCTGAAGGCTTTTCTGAAAAAAAACAACTATGCATGATAGAAGGTTTGAAATGTTGGGGAGAAGTGAAGAGAACAGAGGCATGGCCTTCTCAGAACAAGTCAGGAGAGGTTACAAAATGGCCAGGGCTTGGTTTAATGTTTCTTTGAGGATGGGGTTGTTATGCTTCACTCTGAGGCAGAGCCCTCTCCCTTCTTTTTGCAGTTGGATTTGTCAGTACAACTGCACAGATGACAGTGCCCTGAATTAGCGAGGTAACCTGTTTTAGTATGGGCTTTTTAACGTGGATGTTAAAAGTTCACGTTGAACTTCAGCTGTTTGGATTAATTAATAGACCACCAAAAAGATTAATTAATGGTGAAAGAAAGAAAAGAAAAAGCAATCAAGAATGGGAGTGAAGGAGGGCTGCTTCTAATCGGCAGTAGATTTTTTCCCTACTGTCTGCCGTGGCTAATGTTATTTGTTTTCTTAAATGTGTTTTCTATTTGTGGATGGTTCTGCTTAAAGCAAAACACACACAAAAACAAACAACAAAAACACACAAACCTAAAAGAGCTTCCAGTGAGATGTGATTAAAATAAATCCACTGAAGCATGTGTTTTGTGTCCCCATCCCCCCTGCAAAGGCAGAGAAGCAATTGGATTTGAGTTGAGATGATGCTCGTTGAGAGATGCAGGAATGTTTCCCTGTTGGTAAAGCATGACTCAGAGGTCTGCATGCCTCTGGCCACTTCATGTCAGAGTGCTGAATTTCTCTGCTCCAGTGGTTTTGCTGAAGCAGCTATTACAAGGGCTCTTCTGTAAACTGGTGCAGAGAAATAATTCAGCTTAAAGCCCTTGCTATTCTTTCTGGAGGAGGCGCAGGGAAGGAAAAGGCATTTTTATTAATTTACTTATAGCATGGCTCCATCAAAGAATCTATAGAAATTGGCTTAAATTCCAGAATAGTGTCAGGCTGAAGCTGTAAATGTTGTAAGCTGCATTTGGAAGTTTATTGACAAACTGAATGGTGTCTGTCTTAGAGGAAATGGATAGGAATAGCTACTGAATGAATGCTTGTAGCAGATGCTTACTTACTGACTACTGAACAGACTACTGAATGCAAGGAAAATATGATATTATAGTAAGTATAATTTAAATATTTTCAAAATGAAATTTCTTTCCAACCCAAAACGCTATTTCCTTCAAGATACCAAAAAAAATTTCTTTGAGAGTGGTTGTTCGCCATGAAAATTGACTGTGAAATCTTCTGATTTTAAAGTGACACTTGCATGATTTCTTCTCATTTTACCTTGTATTTGAAGGTCTCCCCCTGAGGAAGTGTACAGAGAGGTAAACTTTCCTCTTAACTTAACTTTCCTTTTCTGCCTGTTTCAGATGATGCAGTTATTTCAGAAGATGTTGGGGCAAGTATCTTCAATGGACAGAAGAAGGTGCTCTACTATGCTGATGCCTTGACAGAAATAGCTTTTGTTGTCCCATCACCAGTGGAGTCCCTAAGTAAGAGCGTTTTGTGCATGCTATTTAGAGGGGAAAAAAAAGAAAATAACTTTTTTTTTTTTTATTTAGAGAGCTGTATCAGAAGCAGATACCAAATAAGCAAACTAGTGGTGTGAATAGCAAGACCCTTGCTAGAAAAATACTGATACTTTGATTTAAATATCCAATATCCAGGAGTTTTTGACTCCTTCTGAGACAGTATCTGTTCTGTACAACTTTTTCTCAGTCTAGGCCTCAGTATATATTCAGGTTTGTGTGACAGTATCTGTTTGCCTTGGTGTGTTTGGTTGGACATATGAGTTTGGTCTGCAGTCATGATACTTTTAAAAAAAAAAAAAAGCCAATGAGTTCAGTTTTTTTTTTTTTTGCAGAAGGTAAGACAAAATTCACATTTCTTTTGGTTACAGCTGATTCACTGGAAAGCAATGTCTCAGACCAGGAAAGTGACTCCAACATGGATCTGCTGCCAGGAATATTAAAGCAGCCATCTTTGACGCTTGAACTCTTCCCCAATCATACAGACAATCTTAATCCCTCGCATCGGGTAAGGATAAACTTGCACTGAAAAATGGTTCTTGTTTTGTTATGGTTTATGTTTTGGTTCATTTTGAAGAAGCACACTGGCAATCCTACAGCATTTTTGATAGTACATGATTCAGTTTCCTAGCATTTGGAGTCACTCATTCTTAGATGTTAATTATTAACAACAGCTTCAGTCCTGCTAGCATTTGCACCTGCAGTAGGAGATTGGTAGATTACATTAATTAAATATAAATTAATATAAATTTAGCAATACTAAGTAGAAACATCCTGCATGCTTAAATTTTGAAGCATATGCAGGAAAAAGTATATGCAGTATTTGCAAAGCAGTTCAGACTCCAATCAATGCTTGGAGATGTAGGATAGATTGACGTGAAGACTTTTCATACTTTGCCAGTTTGAAATAGCATGGGTCAGTTGTGGCTGAATTATCAAATGTGAAGTTGCTTTTGTATGGTAGCAAAACAAGAAACGATGAACTTCTATAATAGTTACAGGATTTACAACTGCCATTTTTTTTGTATAAAATTCACTTCCAAATGTGCTTAGTTATTGTTTTACGATCTTTAAGAATGTTTAAAAAAGAAATGGATGAGTTTTTAAGATCATTAATGACTAATCTAAATTGCAGTTGCCTGGATGCATTTTTATTGGACTTACTGCAGAAATTGGCTATTAGTATAAACACAGTAAAACTGGGAACAAATAAATTCAAGTGTAAGGCAGGAACTTCAGTTTAGCTCCCTGGTTTGGATGGGGAAATTGGCAAGGAAAAGCGCATTTCGTTGGGCAGTGTGCAGATTTTCTCTGAAATACTGAAATAATGGAAATATCATAAAACACTGCCATGATAGATGTGCTGGGTCTTCCACAATAGCATGGGAAAACAGCAGTGCACGTGCGTGTTTCCTGGGAACACAGAGCAACTGAATTGGGTGCAGCTCAGATACATGCAACAAAGCTGGGAAATGAGAAATAATTGATGTTGTTATCAATGTCTAAAGAAAAAAGAGGCTTTTCTCTCATTTATGTTGAATATAAGTATTGTGGAGACCCAAATTATTGCTTCTTAGTGGGTAGTTCCACTGTAGCTGTCCCATCTTAATGATTGGCAGAGATTGTACCTGTCTGAGATCTGAAAGACTATGGAGCAGCTGTGGAGATGTTGTATTACTGGACTTAGGATGTTTGCAAATGCTGGTTTTCTCTTGTGTTCAAAACAGCTCAGTCCTACTTCCAGATCCAAGAAGGTGCCTCAGGGCCGGACCATTCCACCAATGGGACCTGAAACCAAAGTGTATGTGGTCTGGGTTGAACGTTATGATGACATAGGTGTGTACAATTCTTATTGTTCATTAGTGTAGCAACAGATCAGAAAAACAGAGGAAAAAAATGTTTTTTTTCCTCTGTTAAAGAATGCTAAATCCTTATTAATTTCTGTAACTGACACTTAAGATTCTAAAACTGTTCCAATATTTAAGTGATGGTCCACGAGGTGTAAATGAATCACTGGATGTAGGTCTGGAGATTATTTTAACTCTAGCAGTACATGTGAAGTGCCCTTATGCACCCTCTCCCTAAGCTTAATGTATAAGGCTAGTGTGCACCCCCAGTGCTGAGTTCTTCTCAGCTGTGGTCTACTCAGAATGGAGCTTCTATGTTTCCTTTAAAAAAAGACTTTCTGACTAGTTTTACTTTTGATCAGCTGGTTTTGTGCTGAAGGGATCATCAGCTTCCTTGTTTTGATGGTACCTTTGAAACTTTGTACTTTTGATCTTTCTTTGGGAGGGCTCATTTACTCTTTGCTTGGAGTGCCAGTTTGGATGGTGCTGTGTGGTCCAGTTATTCAGGCAGTGTCCTGCTCCTTGTGCTAAATTAATGCTCTTTGGGTTGTTGTTTCCTCCCTGACTGTGGATGCTGAATATCCTGGGAGAGACCCAGCTTTGTCCATCCTGTTATGTCCATAATGTGGACAGTGGTGGGCAGCTGTCCCCCAGGCACAAGGAGTCCTTCGTCCCCAAGAATTTCTGCATGCTGGTTCGAAGCCATGGGCCAGGCTTCAGTGTGAAGTGAGAGCCTGTCTGTGCTGACCTAGCTTGGTAGTGTCTGTAAGGCTGCCAGCAACAGATTCTATTTTACATTGTTTATTCTGCCTTTGTTTCTAATCCTAGTTCCTAGTTTAGCAGTAAGAGGGGACCTCAATTAACTCCAAGTCCTCCCAGAGGAAAGCAACCAAGTGAGTAGAAGAGATCAGAGGAGGCTTCCCATTAATTGCAGGTGTAAACTCTTTCTTTTCCTACCAAGGTCTCTGACACACACATTTTCTTGTCCACAGCACATAGTGCAGAGTTTTGCCTGGGATCAAAATACACACCAAGTTCTGCAGCATCACCTCCTTATCCAACCATTGGCCCAGAGGGTGTTCCCTTAGCTCCGGGAGTCCCTCAACCACTTCCGTTCCTGAGCTGCTATCCCTTTGTGGGTGGCATTAAAGCCAGCTCACTGGGGAGACAGTGACTGTGCTACACGCATGCTTCTGCTCAGCTGCTTCTTTCAGCAGCCACGGGAATCTCCCAGAGCTATGGGCCTGAAGATGAAGAAATGAGTCTGTGAGCCTCAGTAAGACTGGCAGTCGGATGACTGAGGGGAGGCTCTTGAAAGTTTCTCCTAGCCCAGAGGCTTTGCCTTATGCTGCTTACATTTTTGGCTTTCATCTTATGTTTTATGAATCTGGACAGAGGAAAAACCTGACTTTGTTAGTCTAGGCTATCACCCTAGTGCCAACTGCCAGTCCTCCCTCTTGGTCCATCTCAAAATACCTCTGTGCACACCCCCTCCCCTCCCACTGTCTTCCTCTGCTAGATCCAGGTTTTGGGTGCACTCAACGCTCCAGTTCTAATGCCAGAAGGTATTTTCGAGCCTTACACTCTTCCTAAGCTTCAGCCCCTAAAAAAAAAAAAAAGGATGCAGCTACCACATCCCATTCCAGGGATTCAAGTTCTTATTTATTCCTTCTGCACCTTCATTATGCAGGGACTTATTACCAAGTGCAAGGTGGCAGAGTGGTAGGTTATGGTCAGGATTTGCAGAGACTGGACTCGAGGAACAATGCCGTATTTGCCAGAGCAAGCTGTTATTCCTGTGTGGGGTGCTCAAAGGAACTACAGATGCAAGCAGTGCTATCATTTGAAGTTCCAAGCACTGTTTTTGAGGCTGATATTTACAGATGGGAAAAGAAGCTACTGGATAATAATTTGAAAGTTTATCTTGTTGTGAAACACTTCATCTCCTTCCTGTTTTCATTGTTCTTCTGGAGATTTTGACCTTTGGGATTAAGAAAATTGAGGGTCTGGGACATGTTACCTAATCCGTTGAGCACTGGATGAATGAGGTGTGTCTATATACTCCATGTACTGCTTATGCTTAAAACAGACCAACAAAAGGCTTGGCATCAACTGTGTTTCCAGAACATCCATGGCATAAATGCTTGAGGCTTACATCATTTTAACTAGTGATAACTCATCTTTCTTGGTCCCTAAATAAACAAAACTGGGGTAGTTAAACTTTATTCTGTGCGTCCTTTTCACATAGAAAACTTCCCCCTCCCTGATCTGATGTCGGAGACAAGCACTGGTGTAGAAACTACAGCCAACAGTAGCACTTCTGTAAGGTAAGACTACTCTTATTTTTGTTACCTTTCTAGATTCTCGCAGACAGCAGTCTAGGCTGCACTTCAGAAGAAGCCATAACTGAATATATTTACATTCTTCAGCTTTCACAGGGAACCCCAGAAACTGTAGGCAGCCTTATTAAAAAGACAGTTGAGTTCCTAGTGGCCAAGAGGGCCAACGGGATCCTGGTGTGCATTAAAAGGAGAGTGGCCAGCAGGTCAAGGGAGGTGATCCTCCCCCTCTGCTCTGCCCTGGTCAGCCCTCACCTGGAGTACTGTGTCCAGTTCTGGGCTCCATGGTACAAGAAAGACAGGGATCTCCTGGAAAGAGTCCAGCAGAGGGACACAAAGATGATACGGGGCCTGGAGCATCTTCCTTATGAGGAAAGGCTGAGAGACCTGGGTCTGTTCAGCCTGGAGAAGAAAAGTCTGAGGGGGGAATCTCATCAATGTGTGTAAATACCTGAGGTATGGGAGACAGGGGGATATGGCCAACCTCTTTTCAGTGGTTTGCGGGGACAGGACAAGGAGTAATGGTCACAAGATAGAGCACAGGAAGTTCTGCACCAACATGAGAGAGAATTTCTTCATGGTGAGGGTGACGGAGCACTGGAACAGACTGTCCAGGGAGGTTGTGGAGTTCTCCTTCTGGTGATGAAGTTACAGTTTCCCTGCTGCACAATGGCATCCAGCTCCTCCTGTTAGTTGTCCATGCTGCGTGCATTGCTGTAGATGCACTTCAATTGTGCGATTGCCCTCACCCCCAACCCTGGGACTCCTCCCCCAGGCTCACCTCTATCAAGCCTCATTTCCCCCCTGCCCTACCTGCTGGTTTAGCCACAAGACATTTTTAGCATCCCTTTAACAATCTATGGATGAAAAATGACTGGTTTGATTGAAATACTGCTAGACTGATGAACTAGATTTAACAGCCATATATTTTTCCTTAAGATCTGCCATTCCTGAGAAAGAAGTTCCTGTGATCTTCATCCATCCTTTAAACACTGGCTTATTCAGGATAAAACTACAAGGAGCAACTGGGAAATTCAACATGGTTATCCCACTGGTGGATGGAATGATAGTCAGTAGGAGAGCTCTTGGTAAGCTAAAGGTGTTTAGGAACACCTGTATTTTCTTTTGTTTTTGTTTTTTATTTTCACATGGAGGCATTTCAGTGACTGGTCCAATCCATCCCATATGGCATTGACTACCTCTACCATCACAGAGCATTGCAAGTACCCTGCCAGCAATATTTTTGTTTGTACTCCTTCACAAAAAGTAAATATAAAAGGAGTGTTAATTCCCGTTTTGTTCATGCTATGTGTTTCCATTTTTCTGTTATGCTGTTAGTGTGAAATCTGGCTAATCCCAGCAATTTAATGCAGAACAGCGTTAAGGATAGCTCAGGGACTGTGGAGTGTGGGTGGTGATATATCTGCAAAATGCATGGTCTGGAATTTTTCATTGGAAGAAGTACTGGGCATGACAGCACATCTTTATTTTGTTCTTTTTGCAGCAACAGTGGAAGCAGGAACAGCAGAGGGAGCAGGTGCTTAGCAGTTAGCTGGTGGCATTGCTCAGTGGGCTGAGCTGTAGGCTCAACTGTAACTGTAGCAATCAGGTGAGGGCATGGAAGCGTTAATGGAGGAAGGAAAAGGAGCAGTTTAGGTGGGAGAGATCAGAAATGTGGCTCAAAAATGTTTATCACTGGGGGCCAAGGTGCTGATGTTACCTGACTACCAGAGGATAGTGTTGAATTTTGAATTGTGCTAGCATGCAGTGTTTGGTCCTTGTGGTTTAGAAATAGGATTGCAATTAAAAGCCACAGAGATTGTCAGGCCTGTGTTAATGGGTGCATGTGTGCAATCCACCTTCTTCTGGGTTCCTGGATGTATTAATGACTCAATCTTGGGTATCTGTGATATTATAAATTCAGTAACTGGAAATCTTACTCCAGTAAAAGCTATTCCCAGGGCCGATAGAAATGAATAAACTCACATTAGGGTACTTGCACATAACCATAAAACTAATGTTGTAGGGATCAGTTGGGGGTGACTACCAGGTTCTGATTTTGCATGTCATTCAGTGATGGGGAAGTTAAAGCCAGTTTGGGCTTTCAAATAAACTTTCTGAATTCAGCTGATGACAATGGCTTATACTAATAAAGAACACGGTGTGTTTTCTTAGGGTTGTGCTGTGTTTTCAGGAGCAGAACATAATGAAATTTGTCTGGCCTCTAAGTTCAGCATATGTGGTTTGTGGTTGTCAGGAATCAGGTCCTCTAGATAAGGCAAGCAGTGTTTGTTGCAGTTTCACTGGTACTTTTCTATAGGCAGAAAAGGAGTTAATGGAAACTTGCATAAACATTGCATACGAATTTAATTTTGGAGTAGAAGAAAGTCTACTGCTGGTTTTGCCTAAATATTAGCTACTTAGGTTCTGAACCTTCTCCTCCCAGCCATGTGCAGAAGCATGAGTTAGGGAAGGGCAACAGCTGTGGCAAAGCCATGAGGGCAGAGAGAACTGTTTCTAGCCACAACCCATAGTCTATCTTTTACCCCGTTCAGAGAGGATGGTTCTGTCATCCCTGCTGGTGCTGTGATGGATTCTGTACTCTTGCTGTTATCAGTGCTCATACGGCTCCTCAACGTTACCTGTTACCACCTCAGCCCCAGCTGAACTCCACATGTCCTCATGCAACGGAGCCTTGAGCTGTCATACTGCTCCAACGGTGTTGGGGTTCTACATTGTTTCCCCACTTGGTCCTGAGGGAGCTGTTGCAGGCTGCTGTGCAGCACTGGCAAAGCAGGGAGATCTTCCTTCTCTTCCAGCTGGATTAGAGTGCCATAGACCTCATCCCTTTCTTATTTGCGTTTGACAGTAGAACAATCTCACAGCCCTGGGGACCGTGATTATCTGTTACCAGCTGGTCTTTCAGAAAAGTTCTTGATTTGGTGCTGCTGAGCATCTTCCCTTAGGTTTTTAGATGGAGCAGAACCCAAAACTTTCTTTATCTTTGAAACCAGCATGGGGGCAGAACTTAATTTTGTTTAAACTTGATTCCAACATTGTTTCTTTTTCAGGTTTTTTAGTGAGACAAACAGTAATAAATATTTGTCGGAGAAAGAGGCTGGAAAGTGATTCATACAACCCCCCACATGTCCGCCGAAAACAGAAAATAGCAGACATTGTCAATAAATACCGGAACAGGCAGCTGGAGCCAGAATTTTATACCTCACTTTTCCAGGAGGTTGGGCTCAAGAACTGCAACGCCTAGGCCATTATCCTTCCAGGACAATCAGATCAGAGCTTGGTGGCTACAGTAATGAAAACAGTTAAATAACAACAAATTTCTTCAGCCCTCTGGAATTCAGGAAACCCATATTCTAGCACAAGTCAGCAGTTACCATGTGGGAGGAATGAGAAATGAATCAAAAACATTGCAGTTGGGATATTGACTCAATTCACCTACCCTCAAAAGATTACTGAATTCCAATCTTCCTGGATACTCGCAACATAATCTTTTCACCCAATCATCTATTCCAGACTAATTAGGAACTGTGTCTCATTCTGTGAGAGAACGATCAAAACAAAAATATCTCTGCATATCAGTATGGATAACAAAATACAAACAAACCTGCCTTCAGACACCTCGCTACACCCTCTTGTTAAAGGAGAAAGGAACAGGGTCTCTCCTTTGAGGAGAGACTTCTTTCTGAGCATTGACTATCCCTGCAAGAACTTAAGAAGTTTTCAACCCCCTTCAGAGTACAACAGAAGATACTTCACTGCTTGTAACCAATTTGTGTACCAAAAGGAAGAATAATGTTCGGAAATATCAGATCATGAAATTTGTGGGCAAGATGCTGTATTTTACGGTATCCTCCTTGGTTGGGCATGAGTCTATCTGCATACAACATTTCTGTCATACTGAGAACAAACACAACACCTGAAATTACCAGGCTTCCAAACATAAGCTGTTACTAGATAAGAGTTCTTGGTCATATAAAACAAGATTTTGACTTTCAGGTCTGTTGCAAAATGTCACATTTAATTTTAGCAGCTTGATTTTATTTTTTATGGAATACTTATTTTGAAGTTTCCATAGCACCTAGTCACCGTTTCCATTAAATCATAAACACTACTTGCTTTCCTTCCATTGGCTTGAAATCTGAGGTTCTGGGGCTGCCTTCTGCCTGCCATTTTTTTTTATAGCATAAGTGGTTTTTGCAGCTTCTACACTTCTCAGACGCTCCTATTACAAAGGGTAAAACAATTCAAACAGAAAATTCAGGAGCTGTTCTTTTTTTCCGTTAATTTGCTATTTCATAGAAGTCCATTTGGAGTTATAACTTAAAATCGTTTTGAAGCTACTGTGCTTTCTCACTGTCAGCAGCAGTGGTTCCTTTTCTCCTAGGTCAGAAGATCTCCAAACTGCTGGTGTCTCTCTTGGCCCTACTCAGGTAAAATATATGAATTGTTGGCTTTCATCCCAGGTGAAACAGGCCAGTGTGGATTCAGTTCTCTTTGATCATTGGCAACTTCAGTTCAAGTGCTCTGCTACCTCTGTGTGCACATTGCCTGTGAGCTCAGCAGACAGCAACAAGCTGTCCTCCAAGAGTAGGTTTTTGAATGAGGATGCAGATAAAACTTAAAATAATAATAATAAAAAAAAAAAGTAAAAGGCATACTTTCCTTTTCAGACCACCACTTTCTCATATGGTCAGGACTTGAAGGTTGTGCTGGGAAAAGATGTTTACAACTACAAATTTAATACTGGGAATATAAGAGCTGCAGTGGGCATTTGCATTCTTGGGAGTGCTTTCAAGCTCCCAGCGCAATCTTAACTTGTGTTGCAGTAATGAATCATCACTGATGCTCCTGTGTAGGTGCAGTTTGTGATCACTGGCAGCAGCATGTGTTCTCCTTCCAATAAGTAGATAGTATAAGAGTATAAATTTAAGTAGGAATTTGTGGAGCTCTTCAAGTTATTTTAAGTTATTTTTCAGAAGCTTTTTAATATGTATTGCAATAATGCCTGTGAGTCATTTAATTTTGATATTTCACAGTTAATTTATGCAACAGTTCTGACCTGAAACAGTCTTAATTGTTTCATTTTAACTAATCTGCCAAGGACATACTCTGTCTCTATCTTTGTATTAGCCATGAAAAAACACATGAAAACATGGGGCCCTAAAAAATACACTTGCAAGGACTTTCAGGATATCAACCAAAGGGGGCTTGGGGTGATAGCTGTGGTGGTTACAGGGGACAGGCATACATGCCTCAACTCAGGAGCTCTTGATTTTGATCCAGATGAATCTCAAGTGGAAAAACGAAACCACAGAATGAAAACCATTGTAGAAGCAAGCATGGTGGCTGGCCTGTGCTTATGTGATGCCCTGGTTGTAAATGGCAGCAGGTGTTGCAAGTCAGCATTTGGGTTTATTGGCAAAGCTGTGAAGGGAAATTTAGCTTCATTTCTCTGGTAAACTTTTGCCAGTATCAATTTAATGCACAGACACTAAATTTACCCACATTTTGTATGTACCTATTGGATTTAAATAATGGCCAAACACACTTTAAACCACTGACTAAAAGGCATGACCAATGCATGTGTAACAAAAATAAACATACTGAGCAATCAAATGTTTGCACATCTTCAATAACCTAAAAACAAAACCCACATACCATAGCTACGAGTGTGTGTTATATGCAGAATCATTGGTTTATATCCTAGTGAGCTACAAAAGATACTTCAGGTACTTGGGTACAGTCAGTAGCAAAGATGTGGACTTGGGAACCCTGGATATGTTCTGCAAAGTCCAAGATAGCCAAATGGACTGCTTGAAATACTACTCTCTAAAAAGGCCTATGCTTGGCTGAAGAATAGTTCTTTGGTCTATTTCCACATTTCATCTAAATCATGAGTACAGCACCCACTTGAGCATTAATAACAGTGAAAGCAAGGCGATGTTTCAGAAATCTTGAAAGAAGGTAACTTTTGCATGCACTGTTGCTGTTTATCCTGCAGCCTGGGTGAGTAGGCATTTATAACTTGCTTAATTTGATTTATAAAATCAGTTGTTTAATACTTTTACACATTAGTGATATGACCTAGCCATAAATTTGGGGTTTTGCTGTCTGGAAAGATGAACCTTCAAGAAAGTCACAGTTTAGTATAAAAACCTTGATTCCAGAAATGTGTTGTCATCCCATTTGGTTTGGATGCAAACTGCAGTAGTAAATGCCCGTGGCAGACTCATGCCATGGAGCGTGTCTGCAGGCAGCGTCCCTCATCCCCCTGTGCACAGAGGTCTCCACTGTCATCATCGTAAAATATAAACCACCAACCTGGAAAAAAAATCCTTGTCTGCTCAGAGTTTGTGGCCCAACTTCACTGGCTTCAGTTAGTCCAGGATGGAGCCTAGAGCTTTTTCTGCAAAAGAATTAGAGCAAATACAAGGTTTCAGTTGTGATGTTACTGTCAAGATTCCAGACTTCTGTTTTTTTTCCACCACAAACCACTGTACTGAGTTTTTAATTTTAAAACTTTTAATTTTAAAACTTTTACATTGTTGGTCATTGGAGAGAATTCATATTGACCACTTTGTGTGTAGTGTGACAGCCTCGACTTCTTCACGTTGCATAGAGTGACAAAAGCTGAGATACAAATGTGACACAACTAAACTGAGACTTTTTATATAAGACCTTTCATGTTGGGTTCATGATTCTGCTTTAAGTGATGGCATCCTTTTAATGGTGCAGAAAGAGGGAGGGTAAATGTCACCCTGTTAAATGCAGCGTTGACATTACAGAAATTTTAGTACCTTAATAAAGACTCATTTAAAGAAATCATCTTAAAGGTACTTTAAAAAAGCATTACAAACTTACAGCAAAGGGGAGAGGATGGTGTCTGTGAAAAATAAGGTGTAGGCACAGACAGCAGCATGTGCATGACGGCTGTAGGGTAGAGCAGCTCTCGATGCTATGCTGGCTGCCCAGGCATCTCTTCCCTGCAAGGTTCTGCATGCTCAGAAAGACAGGAGAGCTAAATTTCAATCTAATAGACTAATTAGATGTGATTTAATGACTGCATAATTGAGTGATGTCTTTGAAGGAAAACACGGGCATTTTCCACATGGATTTTAGCAGGAGTAATTTGCAATGAGAATGCCAGATATCACATGCTTCAAATCATATACAATTTGTATGAATTTCTGTATGTTGCCAAGACATGATCTTTTTGTTCTTACTGTATTTTTCTGTAAATATTCCTGGCGCTAAGTTGTAAAGTAAAGGCAAAATGTAAATATGAAGATGTGAACTATGTTTCCTTGTCTCTAGTACTTTATCTCTTATTTGTTTAGGGAAGGCACACAAAGGCTTGTTTGTATTTATGCCAATTCTTTGTCCAGGAGAAACACATCAAATATTGAATGTAACACAATTAGTCCAATAAATTTTAAAGATTCTTATCTAATAGCTTTGCATTTCCTGATTTTTAATATTTTCCAATGCCTTTGGTTGAAAAATCAACCAATAGTGACGATGTTTCCCAGAGCAATAGCAGACAGATGTAGTAAAATTGCGCACCCTCTACTACACAGCAGCTATGGTAACAGTGCACAAGCTTGTATTTAAGGAAATCATGTTGCACCTTGGCAGTGGGTGGGAGGGGAATGACGACTTGGAAGCACTGCTTTTGGGGAGAGGCCTGGTGTTCCTGCCATGCAAAGGTTCTCCATTTTTACAGTGCCCCCCTCTGTATCTCAGCTCCACCTGCTTTTGCAGCTGGCTGAATTATGCTGTGGGGCTTGGAATGTTGATGCAGTAAAGCAGAGTTAAAATGCAGTGCAGAGTCCCACAAATGCCACAGAAACAACCTTTTCTTAAGGATGAAGGATTTCCAAGCTCAATCACTTGGATTAGGAGAGGAGTAGTGCAGCAGGGTCAAGCAGCAAGCTTGGAAATCAGAAACACTGACAGAAAGCAGGGCTGGAGCAAGGAAACAGCTTCTGCCAGCTGACCATTCCTCAGCTTCCTGGGAGTCAGGGTGGTCAGCACAGCTCTCCCTTGCCTTCACCTGGGTTCCCCAAATCAGTGCTGTGGCCTCTGCTGGGGCAGGGCCCTGCCTGCCCCTTTCAGCACCTTGCTGGCATGCACCAGGCTGCAACAGTGGGGCGGCTGCACAAGCAGCAGCCCTCAACAAAAAAAGCTGCCTTTGGGCCATGGACTTTTCATGAAATCTATTTACAGACTAGAAGAAAAACATTGAAATGACCCTTTCAGAAACCTTAAACAGGGCAACGCGAATGTGGTGGTGGTGGTTAGGGTTTTTGTTTTCCTGTTGCCTCCACTTGTAAGGGCTTTGGCTGCTCTTCCCTGCCATGGGATTCCTGGACTGCGCTCCTCTGCAGGATCGCCTCCAGGAAAGCTTAGGGCAGGTCCCCCCCCCAGATGGGTCAATATGTCCTTCCTTGCAGTCCCAAAGCAGAATAGGTTTTCTGTGGCTCTATTTGAAGGTCTGGTTACTTCCTTCTTCAGCCAAGTGAAGTAAAAAGCACCAGGCAGAGCCAGCTGTTCACATCCCACGTGGCCAGGAAGCCCTTGCTGTACTCACCACGCTCTCCTGCCGCTGCTCCGGGCTTCTCATTGACCAGACTTCTTTTCTTTTCTTTATTTGCGGCGGTGCTGGGGAGGGGGCTGCTGCGAGCATCTGGAACCAGGAAGGTGCCTACGAGGTGTAAAGCTGTTTCCTACTGCCTGTGGGAGCAGCAACATTTTCTGCTTTATTTTATACGGTGCATCCAAAACACCCGCCCTGCAACCCAGGGCTCACCCCTGTTTTTAGCCTCGCTGCAGGTATCATGAAGAAGTGATGCAAGATGGCTCCAGTGCTCCGGTCAGGTTTTCTTGCAAAGCATTTACTGGGAAAGGCGGAGGTGATGCCCCAAACGCAGTTTCATGGCCAAAGGCGCCTGGACGTGGCCCCAGTGGTGTCACTGATTTCACTCTCTCCACGCACCAGGCAGGAGCAGAGGGTGTTTGTGATGCCCTCGGACCCAGCTGGGTGTTGTGATGCTGCCCCCGAGTCCCCCAGAGCCAGGGGGAAGGAACGTGGGGGCCAGGGACCACCCTGGGGGCTGTTGGGTCACAGGAGGCAGCTTTGGATGTGCTGATGCCCAAACAGGCCGAGGCGTGACATGGTGGTAACAGGAGGGGACGCTGCCAAAGCACACCTGCCCTCCTTGCAGCAAGAGTGAGGCAGGAGCAAGGGCTGAACCCCCAACAGCCCATGATTGAGGCCCATTTGATGACATTATTAAATGATACAGTGCATTTTCTGCCTCTTAAAGTACTTAATATATGTGCCCGTGTGATTCATTATTATTATCTAATAAAAGATTATCTGACTCACTTTCATGTTTCTTCCAATTACAAATTGAAATTGTTCCCACTATGACCTTGCAGCTGCTAGATTTTTCTAAAATTAGCCATAATGATGCATTTTACTAAGATAATTAATGATCTAAACTGAGAAAATTGAGTAGTAGAACTACTTCACATGCTGCTAATTATCTTTTATTATGTCATCTTTACATGCAAATAAAGAAATATTGTGATTATTTTAAATACTGTTTTCATTAGCTAATATACTTGTTAGCATAGCGATGGCTCGATTCTTCCTCTGCAGTAAGAGCCCTTGGGGACCTGGCTGCTTATTGACTGCAGAACTCTTATTTTCTGTTTAAGAAAATACAGTTAAATTCAAAAAATTGGTTTATTTTGTCAAGCACAAAACATGAAACAGTGGGGATGGATTTTCCTAACCCTAGCAGCCTTGCAGTAATTCATGACCGAGGGTTGGGGTGTCAGCATCACTCTGGGTTTGTTCCTAACACCTCCTTGAGCAACCACTGCGATTTTCTGGGCTGGGTGCGCTTGTGCCAAGGAGCTGCCAGCCCTGCAGGGCTTGCCTGGGTGCGCTTGAAGTGGAAACCAAATGGCCACAGGAGTGGGACAACCCAAACAGATGGGGTTGCACGGGAGCCAGCAGCACCCAAGGCACTTGCTGGAGGTGAGAGCGGTTCCCCAGGCTGTGCAGAGGAGGAAGGGCTCTGCGCCAGGAGCCGCTTCATAGGAGGCCACACCTTGCTCAGGACACACAGTTTTATGTCCTCCACAAATCCTGGGATGAAACGAGCAGCCTGAGGGGTGGGGAGAGCAGAGGATGTTCAGGGAGGCCTTTGTCACCGTGCCTCTTGTGGCCATCAGGAGAAGCTGCTGGAAGGTGGGCTTGGTGGGCAGGCAGGGGAGGGCTGAAAACCGGCTGAACGCTGAGCCCAGGGGGTGGGGATCAGTGCAGCAAAGCCATGTCTGAAGCCAGTAATGAGCAGAGCACCCAGAGGGTCCATGCTGGTGCCAGCCCTGATCAACTGCCTCATGAAGGAGCCGGCTGAGGGAACAGAGTGCACCTTCAGCAGGCTTGCAGGTGACACAAAGCTGGGAGGAGCGGCTGAGGCACCAAAGGGTCTGTGTGTCCCTGCTGGAGCAGGAGTGGCACCAGAGGAGCTCCAGAGGGCCCTGCAAACCTCAGCCACTCTGTGACTCTGCGACAGAGGCTGCCCATGTCCCTACCATGGTTGGGGTTAGGGATCTGGGAGAAACGATGTGTGGAGGACACAAAAGAACAGGGGATAGGGAGGGGAAGATGAAAAAAGAGGGCAATGGATGGGCAGGTCTGGGGAGGGTCTTCCTGCAGCACCAGGGCAGGGGGTGTCCTCTCCTGAGCAGCACGGAGCCCACCCATGGCCCGAGGAGAGCCCTGGAACTGCTGAGCTTGTGCTCTGCTGGCTGGGCCCTGCAGGATGCCAGGCGGCTGTGGGAAGGGCCTCCTCGGCTCAGGCATCCTGAACAGCCCAGCAGCATTTGGTTCTGCACCACTAGAAAATGTAGCAGGGTGCTCGAGGAACCATTGGCGCAGAGGGCAGAAATGCTGCTTCTGCTCTGTCCTTGGGGGCTGAAGGAGAGACTGTGGTTCTGGGAGAGGCAGCAAAGAGGCCCTCGGTGGAGCCCCAAGTCTCTGTCCCCCCCACACACACCTGCTCCCCAGCTTTCTTCAGAGGCTTGTTGCTCCTAAAAAAAAAATCAGTGAGAGCTAGCTCAGGACACCAAGGTGCCATTGATGCTCCAGCAACTTGTGGAGGACTTGATGGGTTTTCTTCCCCAGGTTTTCTTCTGCTCCATCCCCTCCATCACTGGGCATATGGCTGGAAAAATATGGAGGGGAGCAGAGTCCTCCAGCTAACGCAGAGTTTGCCTTGGAGAAGCAGCTTTCTGCAGAGCTGCCACTTGCCTGGAGCTGCCTGGAGGGGTAGCCTGTGCTGGGAGGACCCCACGTGCTGGTAGCAGCACTATTTGAAATTAATTGGCAGTGCTGGCAAGGTGCTGTGCTCCCCACCTGCATCCCAGGTGCTCCCCATTGGGAGACATCGTGGGCTGGCTCTGCCTGAGTGCTGCACCGTAAATCTGCAGCAGAATGGGTTTGTTAGCACTTCCCTCCTGCACTGCCCCCAGAGCTCATTTCCATCCTCTCACTCAGTGGCGGGAGGCAGCTGGTGGTGCTTTTACAGCTTGCAGCCTCTGTTTTGGCAGCTGGGACCCTTCCCAGCATGGGCAGGATGGGCAGAGGATGCTTCTGCTCCCTTCAACCTTTAGCTCTTAAATCACAGCTGCAAATAAGGTGGGGAAATGGCAGGATGACACACGGGTTGTTACAGCTGTAGAATGACTCAGAGGGATGGGAGGGATTTGAGGCTGGTCATAGCGGTGCTTGCTTTCAGCTTACAGGTCCAAAGGGGGCTGTGCTGGAGGTGAGGGCACGTCTTCCATGCCTTGTGCTGCCTCCTGTGCTCCTGCTGCAGGAGATGAGACCTCATGAGGGAGCTGACACAGCCACTGGGGACACCATGGCCTTGGTGAGATCCAGTCACAGTGGGAACTGGTGGGCACTGGAGCTTGGAGCAGTCCCCAGAGCAAGGTACTTTATGAAAGTCTACAGGAAGGGCACTGGAGCAAGAGGGCATCTTTTGCTGAGGACACACACTCTGCTGGTGTCCCACATGGAAACAGGGACGCAAGGCACAACCGAGAGCAGCGAGGTCTCGCAGCTTTTCCCAGATTCACCCTCCAGCGCCTCTAGGCTGTCCTGGCTGGGCCCCCTTGCCCTACCTCTCCCTGTCCTCTGAGCCTTGCAGGAAAAAGAAGGTGACAGAACCCCACTGCTGAGGTGCTGCCGGGCACAGCGTGTGCAGCCGTGCTGATGGGCCACAGGCCAGGCAGCAGAGCTATGCAATGACAGAAGAAACGCGTGTACTAAATCTGCTGTGGACCACAAGCTTTATCGGGCAGTATGGGTTTTGAAAAGGAGGGGCTGGCAGTGCAAATGGGATGGGATGAGCTCACATGGTCCATTCATGTCCAGGGGTAATGCAACAGAGGACCAAGACTTTTCAAGCAGAGGAGTCTGCAGGCTGTGGCACCCCTGGTGAGCTGACGGACACAGTTTTGGAGGGGGCACACGCAAAGCCAGGCAGCTCAGTGTGCCGAGCTGCCAGCTGGGCCTTCTGTCCTCATCCTCCTCTGCCCAAAACCCGGGGACAGAGGAGAAAACCCACATTGTGACAAGCAGGGCCCGAACCGCTTCCTGTGACACTCCAAGCACCGCCTCACCAGCTGCACAGAATGCAGGGCAGAGAGGAGCAGCCTAATTACTGCTTCTCATCAGGGCAGTGAGTGAGACCCCGGGGCTGAGCAGCAACATCCCTCACACCACCACCCAGCACCCCCGGCAGGGCTGGGGCACGCTCAGGGCTGCTGCCTTCAGTCCCCACAGGTGGCCGCAGCCCCGGGCCCCAAGGCCGGGTGCTGAGTGGGGTGGGATGGGGCCTGGGAAGCAGAGCAGGTGCCTGTGCCCCTCACTGGCCCTAAAGCCAAACCCCCAGGGGAGACAGAGGGGCCCCAGGTGGCCGTGGGATCCCAGCCCTGCTCCTTTCCTTAATCCGTCCCCAAAGGCCTGACCAAGGGGCCCAGCAGCTCTGGGCCAGGAGGGAGCCCCTGCCCTGCAGGACACAGGCCTCATGCTGCAGCCACAGGCACTGCGCTGGTGTTCACAGTGTGCTCCTCCTCCTCCTCCTCCCTTCAATTCACTTTTGCTGAAGTATTTTTCCAAGGTTTTGCTTCAAGATTTCCAAATAGGAACCCCAAAGCGTGGGTTTATGAATGTATGACGGGAAGATTTAATACTGAGCTGTGTTTTTTCTGTGGCGTTGGAAATGATTGTGCCTTCCTTGATTGTAGAGCAGAAGAGATCTTAGGGAGGCATTTCCAGGCTGGCTTTCAGGCAGATCTTGCTTGAAGTTTCCCTAAAGGGGTAATGTTAATAAGCATCAGTGCCATCAAAAAGTGCAGAAAGCCCCAGCTTTGGAAAAGGCCAGGACAGTGATTCACTGCCCGGCATTGGCATTTCTGCTCCAGACTTGGGTCTTATTAATATCTGCTTGCCTGGAACACAACACAGGCTGCTGGTCACAAGGGGTCAAACCTCTCAGTGAGGCAGCCCTTCACAATGGTTTATGAACCTTAGCTCCGTTAGAGGTTTCACAGAGCCACAGCCTGAGTGAGCACAGGCGACAGCGCACAAGGGTTGCTGCACACAGGGCTGGTGCTCACAGGGATATTGGATGCACGGCTATCAAAGCCATCAGTGTTTGAGGGGGAGGCTTCAGCTGCTGAGCCCCAGCTGTTGGGGCACGGTGAAGAATGCCTGGCTTGGCTGCTTGTTTTTATTTATTTATTTTCCAAATGTTCCAAAATCTTTAAAATTACAGAGGGCACCCTGAAGCATGCACACCCCTGCCTGTGCCTCCTCCCCCCCCTCCAATCCCCCAGCTCAGGCACTCCTTGGACCCTCACCCCAGCCAGGTGCTCTTCATGCCCCCATTCCCTGCTACCTGCTCAACCGGTCCTGTCACAAGCCCTCATTCTTGCTTCAAAATACGCCTTTGAAGTTTCTCTGGCTTGCTTTCACACTGCCCCAGCCCTCCCTGCAGCTTCTTTTCTCAGGCCCCAAACCACCCCCTCCTCCCACCCTCCTTCCTACAGACACCACTGAGGTGTCCCCCCCAAGGGACAAGACCCCAGTACCAGCCCAGCCCAGCTGCTTGCCTCCCTTGTGCTGGTGCCGGGCTCAGTGCCACGCACTCCCACAAGCGTCTGGATGCGGTGGCACGAGGCCACCTCTGTCCAAGTTGCTCTCCTGGGGGACCAGGGCATGGGGAAGCACAGCGGGCAGTGCTGCTCCCAGGGAGTAGTATTGGGGAAGTATTTAGTGCCATCAGCTTCAGCTAAACAGTTGTGTTGGATTGAAAGGCTTTCTAATGGAGCAATGAGACTTTTAATTTATTTTTATTCCCTAAAAGTTGCTATAACTTCTGTAAAAGGAGCAGATTGTTTTACTGCTTCAAGAAAAAATGAACATAAGTTTTGCTGTCGTGTCTGGAGAGAAGAAACTCTCCTCATTCAACATCCTGCTCAATGACAGAATTGTTGCAGTAAAATACGAGACCTGAGATACTCACTCACTTTCCTTCCCTGTTCTTTCACAGAAGAGACCCCAGCCTGAAGGCCCAGGGGGTAGCTCAGGCTGGACGGGCCCTCAGGCTCCATCATCCTGAAACCCCCCAAGGATGGAGTCCACACTCACCAAGCAGTTTGAAGGTCCTCAGGGAGGGAGAACCTTCTCCTTTGCTCCAGCCTCAGCCTCTCATCCCCAGCTCACACCTCCCCTCCACTTCTGGGTGCTCCTGAGGGCTCTTGCAAATCTCCCTGGGCAGCCCCTAGCTCCCGTCCCTGCTGAATTTCATGGGGTGGCTACTGGCCAGAGCCCCAGACCTGCTGTGTCCCTCTGCATGCTATGGACATGTTTTGAGGACCCACAAAAGGGTTTTGTCTGCCAGCTGGTCCTGATGCAGACTGCGACACAAGTTTTTTCTGCATTAAACAGCTGGTGGCAGAGCCTGGCAGTAGCAAGTGGCTGATGAGCTGACACACATTGTCCTTGCTGCTGGGCTAAATAACCAGAGGCTTTTTCCCCTCCAGTCTCTTCCTCCTGGAGGAGGCAAGAATAGCCCCAGGCTGGTGCAGGCACACAGCACAGCGGCTCTGGATGCTGATGATGCCTAAAAGTGTGCTCCCAGGGCAGGAGAAAGGAGCCTCCTGGTCCTGGGAACACCCTGACTCCACGTGTACCAGCTTGGCCCAACAGCTCTTTGCAAGCACTGCAGCTGAAGGAAGGTTCGTCGGGGTGAGAACAGGTTATGGACTCCTCGTGGTGGAGGGCAATGCCCACATTGGGTGGGATGGGGCTGGTGCATCTGCACTGCCCTGCCCTGGTGTGGCTGTACCGCCAGGACCCCAGCAGTGCTCCTGTGCTGTGCTGAGCAGCTCCCAAAAGCCATGCTCAGTGGGGCGAGGAGGGGGTTCCTGGCACTCCAGGTGCTGATGGAGCACAGGGAGCCTGGCAAAGCTGCCCTGTGCCACTGCCCATTCACCAGCTTCCCTTCCAGACCGATCTGGGAAGCCAAGCAGATGTTTGTATGGATGCAGTGGTAGGATGTGAGTGATCCTCGCGTTTGTGTTTATGGCTGTTTAATGAGCTATTTTTCCTTCACACCATTGATTTCCCTGGGTTCTGCTGAGATCGCTTGCCTCTGGGCAATGAGAAGTAACTCAGCTGCTCCAGAGGAGCCATGCGTCAGCCCCACAGGATGGGATAAGGCAGAGCAAGGAGCTGCTTCAGGAAGGGGCTGGTGCCGCTGCACAGCTCAGTGGTGTCTGGGGCCTCAGCTGCACTGGGAGAGGACTCGAACCCAGGGGAGACGTGTCCAGAACTTGGATGTGCATCAGGCCCTTCACATGCTGAAGTGTTGCCTTGTGTCTGGAAGAACCCAAACCTGTCTTTCTCTGTGCTGGGAACTGGCTGTGCACAGTGGGTTTGGCTCTCATCATTGTTTCACGCGCACACTCACAGGGACACCTTACCTCACACCACGGTGCTCTGCAGTCAGCACAAAGGGGCCCTGAGAGAGGCCTCGTCCCCCTGGCTACCCAAAACATCCCCACCTCCCTGTGTCCCCATGCAGGTCTAAGGCCAAAGGACAGACTGGTATCACCTCTGCCCCCAGTCAACTCTGGCTCTTCAGCACCCCTGAGACCACTTCAAGGAGCAAGATGTTGTCCAGGCGCTGGTGCTTGCTGCTCACCTTCATTCTGCCACCCCAGCATTCAGGGCAGCCTTGCTCCATCTCCTGTTTGGCACTGATAGTGTGAGGAAAAAATGGGTGCAGCGCTCATGCCACTTTCTTCCTGCAGCACCTGCAGCACCCGGGAAGCCTCGGTGCTGCAGGAGGCTGCGACCTACCCCGGACACAGTCCTGCTGTAGGTGGCCCTTTTGGGGCAGGGGAGCTGGACCAGGTGCCCCCGACCTCAGCCATCCGGTGATCCCGTGGCTCTGGGACACAGCTTGGGGGGGACAGCAGCTGGGCCCCTATGCCAGGCTCCTAGCGCATGGGCATGGCATGAGGAAGCAGACAAAGAGTGGTGCCACTGAGGCACAGCCACCCACGTCCCCGTGGGGCCACGGTGAGGTCCTGGCCAGTGCCGGTGGCCGGGAGGAGCTGTCTGTGCTACGGGAGGTGGCATTTCACATGCAGCCCCTGGGGACATGAGAGGATGGGGGGGGGTCAGGCTGCCAAACGGCTTCTGTGTCGGTGTGCTGGCGAGGGATAAACAAAAGGAGCTGGAAGTCTTAATGCATGATCAAGATTATGATTTAATTGGCATAACAAAGGCTTGGTGGGCTAAGCCACATGACTGGAATATTAATACCAGAGGATGCCGCTTGTTCTGGAAAGACGGGCAGGGGATTAGGGAGGAATGTGTTGCTTTGTATATTAAGGATGAAGACGTTCTGCACTCCCTCTCTCTGCGCTCCAGGGAGAACCTGGATGCCATGCTGCCAGTGGCTCTGGGGCGTGTGGAGGGGGCTTCAAGTGAGACGGCCTGGCTCAGCCAAACCCAGGGCATGGCAGGGATGGAAAACTTCCCTTCCCGAGCAGCCAGTGCGAGAGAGGACAGCAGGTGACAGTTCCAAAAAACACTTCCAGGGCATTAGCAGCAGATAAGAGACAAGTAGAAGAAAAAGTTGTCTGGGTTTGTGTCTGACATACCGGGTGTGGATGCAGCAGTGGGGGGGATAAATTGGCTTAGCACGGCCAAGACATGAAGGAGACCTTTGTCTTGTGAAGGAGAAGAGACAGAGCTCTGAGCTAAGGACAGGGACCTCTGGGAATGTCTCAGAGCAGGGCTGGTCAGAACGGGTCTCTTTGGCTCTCTGTCCTTGAAGATGTTTGAAACTTGCCTTGACAAAGTTCTGAGTCTGGGGCCAGGGTCTGACCGTCCTCATGGGAAAAACCCTGTCCTCATGTCAAGTCTCAGCTCCCTGTGCCCATTTGTGGCTTCTGCTCCTGGGTACCCTCGGGTCTTGCACCACAGCCAACCTGCCCATAGCTGGTGTTTCTGTGTCCTTGTCTTGCTGGTCTGGCTACGAGGATGCTACAGGAGAGCACCTCGAAGGCCTTGTGATGGCAGGGTGCACCCCAGGCTTTCTCCAAAGTACGAGACTTGGCTCCTGGCTGGGGAGCAAACAGGAAGCAGGCTGGTGGGTCTGAATGTAAATGCAACAACTTGTAAGGCAAAATCAAGGCAGTCAAAGGAAAAAAAAATACCAAAAAGGAAAAAAATGATTCAGCAAGCAAGGCGATGAGTGTGTGCGGAAGAAGGGGGAGGGCTGATGGCTGTGAGGAAGAGGGGAAAGCCACAGGCAGGGGATAGCGGAGCACTGGAGCAGCACACGGCCTCGCTGCGCCAGCCTCTGCTGTGCTTGACTGAGTGAGGCTGCACCAAGCAGCAGTGGGAGGCTGATGAGGACGCCCGGACAGGAGGCTGGCGTCATGGGGCCGTGCAGAGGAGCCGCGGCAGGGCAGGGGCAGCAGGGTGATGCTGTGTGGCTCTCAGAAAAGGAGAAACCTTCAGAGTGCCCAGGTTGGCCTCGGCCCTGGGACGCAGCCTCCACACCGGGCAGCAAGGCCCAGTGCCTGCGGGGCAGCAGCCGTGGAGCAGCTGCCAGCACAGGCTGCTGATGGGCAGACTGCGACGAGCCGATCTCTTGTCCTGCTTTGACAGAAGAACTGGACTGGCGGTATGTATCTTGATGTTTGACACTGCTTCGTAAAAAAAGCTCATAAGCAAGTTACAGATCACATTCTGCCTAAACCTGCAATAAGATGAGCACTGTCCCCAGCCCAGATAAGCACCACCAGGCTTCAGCGACCAGCAAGTGAGATAAAGGGATACAGGACAGGCTTTTCAAACTTGCAGACAAAATATGGAGATAGGAAGAATGGGAAGCATGTCGGAAGGCAGGCTCCTAATCACAAAATATTCCTCCACGCCTCCGCTGCTGACACATTAGAGAAATAGTATCAGGGAAGAAGATGCTGTGCAGTGAAGATAAATGCCGTTGGCACTTCAGCACAAACAGGCAATTGCATAAACAAGAAATGGGGAGCAAAAAGAGAAGGATAGATTTTAGGGGAAAGGAGCTGTGACTCCGGGGGAATCATGGCAGAGCAAAGGGAGGCTGGCAGGAGGATGCTGTGAGCAGCGCTGCCTCTCACCGTGGCACTGAGAGCAGCAGGAGATGGCAGCTACGCCTGGACAATGCCCTTTGGGCCAGTTGGAGAGAGTCCAGAGGAGGATGTCAGAGACCTGGAAAACATGACCGGCAAGGAAAAACGGCAAGATGTGGGACTGCTTAATTGGTAGGAGAGAGCAGAGGGGGCTGGTGCAGCTGTCTGCAGGAATGCAAATGACTCCTGTAAAGAGGAAAGGATTAATCTGCCCATGCTGAATAAAACAAGGAGAAACAGGCTTAAATTATCATGAAGAAATGCAAGGTAGATGCTGGGAAAATCTTTCCCGTGATGAGGAGGGTAAGGGAGTGGAGTGTCCACCAGTGAGGTTCCAAGGAGAAGTTGGACAGAAGAGCATTAGCTGGTCCCGAAGGTTCCCTCTTTTCTAGGATTTTACATTTCTGGATAAAAGTATATGAAAAAAAAAAAAAAAAATCCTTAAAGACCTGACTGGCTTCACACCATGAAAAAAAGAAGAAAAAAAAAAAGAGGAGCAACCAGGTAGTCCTGTGAGCGAAGGCAAGGCCACAGAGATCCAAGGGGCAGGCAGGGTCTGCAGGGAGCACAGGGCCGCACCAGCCCCATTCTGGTTAGCTGCACAGCAGCAAAGCAGCAACCAGGAATGGAGAGCAGCCACAGAAATGAGCATTTTGGGTAAAAGAAAGCAGGAGAAGTTCACGTGAGCAGCAGAGCCCATCACACAGAAGAGGTGGAGGAGAGCCACCAGGAGACCTGCCTGGAAGTTAAATCAAATGGAGTCTGCAAGGGAAAAAGTGCTGGAAGAAGAAACTCTGCGTGAAGTGCTGGGGGCTTTACAGCATGGATTTGTTAAATTATCGCTGTTGTCTGTGCTCAGGGTGGTCCTGGCCAGCAGTTCTCTTTCAGTTCTAGGCACAAGATGAACAGAGCCCACTCGAAGGGCAGGTAATGGATGCTCCCGTGGCCTGGATAATGATGAGCAGCACATTAAGCACCTTCTCCTTAATTGGAGGAGTGATTAGGAGCACCTTTGAGCCAGTGGGTCTGAAGCAACAGGACCACAAACCTTGAGCAGACACTAAGTCACAGCCATCCCTCCGGGCAGCAGCTGTCAAGACATTTGCACTCATCCAAGGGGCGGTGAGGGGCTGCCCGAGGCCGGCAGCTCCCAGAAGCATGGGGCAGGATGCGCCTCACCACCGGCCTGGGGGTGCAGGTGCATCAGAGCAGCATTGAAAGAAGACCGAGGGTAAGTTCTCTGTAGACACAAAACTCCCCGTGTAATTCATGCAACGTGCATATCTGTGGGGTGAGCAACAGCTCCGGGCAGCAGCTTGGTGCCAGGGTATCACGATGGTTCGGGGGCCTGGCCATGAAATTGCCCGTTCCTGGGAGCTCCCCAAACTTTCTTCTCTGCTATCAATAATCTGTGGTGGCAAAGCCAAAGTACGGGAAAATTTACAAAAGCAATCATGTGGTTTATCTGATACAGGCCCTGCCCAAGCTCCCGAAGGCAGGGGAATTTCCTCAAAAAAAAAAAACACATCCAAGGAAAACCTGTCCTTGAACCAGGAGTTTCCAGCTTCAGGGCTGTTCAACAGGCTCCCTAAAATCATGGCTGTGCAATCTGGGTATGCAACCCTAAGCCTCCCACTTGTCACCCAGCCTGGCAGCAGCCAGTGTGGTGTGCGTGCTGCTGAATCCTGCCTGTGTGCTGCCGCTGTTTAATTCCCAAGGGACCCGGCACTGTCTGCAGGGTGGCTAAAAATGTGTCACTCCCTACCCTGGCCACCTGAGGCTCTGTGCGGGCAGGCACATGGCCATGTGGGGCAGGTGATCCCCCTCCCTCTCGCTGCACTGGCTCTGGCCCTCTTCCTGGGCACAGCCACGTCAGGCTCCCCACTGAATTGGTGGCCAAGCCATGAAAGATGCACTTCCAAAATGCAGCGGAGACTTTGAGCTGTTACTTGGAGCTCACTGTGCCAGCAGTCTCCTTCAAATTCAATCCAAAAGCAGGCCGCCCTTCCAGCTCACCATCAAGAGCTCCCATGAAAAATCTTCCTAAAAGACCTTTGTAAACACAAGTGAGGCTTCTTCTGCCAACATAGCCCAACAGTCTCCCCCTCCTCTCCTTGGCTCCTGTCTCCGACATTGCTCCTGCAGATGGACCTGTGCTCTGGGAGGGCCACGAGCACAAGCAGCAAATCTGCCTCTGCCCTGGGGATGCAACAATATCGACAGCAAGGGCTGGTACATCTTCCTGCAACACAAACTTCTCAGTGTGGCACAGCTCCAGGGCCTCTGTAGGGCCACCAGCCTGTAGAAACCACAGATAACCACCAGGGACATGTGAACCACCCCAAAAACAGGGAAGTGAAGGACTCAAGATGTGCACAGGCAGCCACAACACGCATAGAGCTGCTACGATCGGTGGTTGAGGCTGATGTACTGGGGTGGACAAAGCCCCGGGTCTTTGTACTGAAAAAAATAAAATAAAATAAATCCAGCAGCAGATAATTAATCCATTAATGACCTCTTCACACAATTCCAGAGAGCTGTGAACTGGCTGCTGTGTTGCTGGGTGTTGCTGGGTGCTGTCCCAGCCTGTGAGATGGACGGAGACCCAGCACCCCGGGCTCAGCAGCGCCCAGGTGGCCTCTCACACACAGCACCAGTGTCCCTCCCTGCACGAAGACGAGCCTAGCCTGGAAATGCCTGGGATTTCTTCTGCCTCAAGAGACACCTTCCTTCCCCATCAGAACCTGTCCCCAGGCTGCCCGAGGGCCACCTGCCCCGTGGTACACACACACTGCCTGGCCGCAGGCACTGCGGCACGGAGCCGCGTCCTGGCAATCTGCACAGCCACTGAATATTAAACAGGAATCAGAAATCTCTGGGGCTCCTGTCTGGGAGAAGCAGCATGGTCACTGCCAGGCTGCAGCTGCCTTCAGTGACATTTTCTGGAGTGAAATGGAAGGTCTCCTTCCCTGGCGGCCAGCTCAGGCTTCTCTCTTCTTCACGCTCAGCAGTGGGAGAGTTAATGCTGCCCTTGGCAGGTAGCATGCGGCTCGTGTCCCACTGGGTGCCCAGTCACAGCCTCCTGCCATGGAGCAGGGGACAACCACTAGAGTGAAGGGGGACACAGTTCAGGTCACAGCTGCCAACCTCTGCACAGCCTGCGGCCACCTCCCCGCAGACACTGGGAGTCCTCAGGACCTCACTGTAATCAGGAGCAGGTCTCAGAGGCTGCCAGCTCCCACATGGGGCTGCTTCTCCTGCTTCAAGGCCACCAGCCAGGAGAAGGGCACAGGCACCCAAAGAGCT